CTTTGGCAACTACTATAGCTTTCAGCCACTCTACACTACCATCAGGTAAGTACTTAACCGTATAAACCCACTTACAACCAACAACTTGCTTACCAGGAGGAAAAGTGGTGAGTTCCCATGTATGATTATGGGCCAGGGCTAAGAGTTATTCTTCCATCGCACGACGCCATCCTGAAGAGGCAAGGGCTTCTTGGACATCCTTAGGGATAACAACAGAGGATAACAAAGAGATAAACTGGCGATGGGAAGCAGAAAAGTGAGTCAATGAAATATAATTAGAAATATGATGAAGGGTACAACTGCGTTTACCTTTCCGCAAGGCAATGGGAAGATCAAGATCAGATTCTGGGTTTGGGGCTGGTGTGGGAACAACTATCGGATCTGTCAACGATGATGAAGCTGGTACATGTGGGCGATGTGTATACACGTGATGGATAGGTGGTCATTCAATAGGTGGTGGCACCAGAGGTAAGGACTTGGTCACAACTGGAACAAGAGGAACATAATCCACAACTAGATGAGGAAGGGGAAGAGGTGATGAGAAGGAAGAAACATCACCGGACCCCAAGAAGAATGGAGTAAACTCAAAAAAGTAACATCAGCACATACACAGGAACGTTGAGAGCTAGGGTGATAACACTTATACCCTTTATGAGTCCAAGAATAGCTAAGGAAGATGCACTTAATAGACCGTGCATCTAATTTGTCCATTCCTGACCCTAGATTATGAACAAAACAAACACATCCAAAAACTTAAGGAGAGAGAGGAAACAGAGACAAGGTAGGAAACAATGTGGTGAGTGGGGAATAACCATCAATGATAGACGTGGGCATCCAATTAACCAAGAAGCAGGAAGTAAGCACTGCATCACTCCAAAAGGATTTGGGAACATTCATGTGATGCATGAGGGACCGAGCTGTTTCCAAGATGTGACGATTCTTTCTCTCAGCCACCCCGTTTTGTTGTGGGGTGTAGGTACACGAAGTCTGATAGATAATGTCATGTTGGTCTAGGTATTCTTGAAATGATGAAGAGAAATATTTACACCCATTATCGGAACGAAAAATTTTAATGTGAACACCTCATTGGTTGCGAATATCAACATAAAATTTTTCGAAAATGGTAAACAATTCACTCATTTCTTTCATTAAATAGAGCTACGTCATCCTTAAATAATCATCAACAAAAATGACAAAATATTTATATCCATTGTATGACATTACTTTATAAGGACCCTAAACATCTAAATGAACCAAAGAAAAATGACTCAACATACGGTTATCAACTCTAGGACTAAAGGGAACACGATGATGTTTCCCTAACTGACATGACTCACAGTCGAAAACAGAAAGATGACTCAATGAAGGAACCAAAGATTTCAAAACTTTTAGTGAAGGATGACCAAATCTACAGTGCCACTAGAGAGGAGAAAGAGACGATTGGAGAGGTGTTGATGTACTTCCACCACTATCAAGATAATACAATCCACTAGCTTCATGCCCTCCACCAATCTTTATCCCTGTCATGAGATCCTGAAAAACACATGAATAGGGGTAAAAGGTAATGGAGCAATTAAGAAACTTTATCAACTTACTAACTGACATAAGATTAAAAGGAAATTTAGGGACATACAATGAGGATAATGATACAGGGTCCATGTTAATATTGCCAACACCACAAATGGAATATGTAAAACCATTAACAAGGTAACAAATTGTGATGTTGGGCAATGAGAGAGGGAATAAAACACACCTGGAGTTTCAGCCATGTGATCGGAGGCTCTATAATCAATAATCCAGGGATTGGGTGTGAATGCCAGACAAGCCATACCTGAGTTTGCGAGAATGACCGTGTTCTGCTGAGATGTGTCATGAACAAACCTCTCATACTAATCATGGGGAATACTCTTCATCTCCTTCCAAGTAACATCTATGGATGTAGAAGGTATTTGATCAGCTGAATGACTCTCTTGTCTGAAGTTACTGTCACTAATCATGACACGATTGGCCCAAGTTGAGGGTGGACCATGCAAGTCATAGCAATAATTAATGGTATGTCCATCCATATCACAATGTGTACACCTCCTCGGACCCAAACTACGTCCTCTGCCACGGGCTCCCTCTGAATCTCGACCTCCACTACGACCACCACCACGGTTATATGTAGGTCCACTACCACCACTTTGGCCATATGCCGGTCCACTGCTGCCACTACGGCCAGACTGATCTATCAAAAACATTAGGGTTCTTGGTAGATCCAATGGAAATCCTCCTAAGTCAAGCAAACACCTCTTCTAAGGAAGGGGGAGCTGACCCTCCTAGTATCTGAGCCCGCATTAGTTCATACTCAGATTTCAGCCCTACAAAAAATCAAGTCACATAAAGTTGTTCCATCTGTTGTTGCTGAATTTTGACATCAGAAGTGAGGGGGTGATAAACATTCAATTCATTATGAATGTTTCTCATACTAGCATAGTACTCCTCAAGACTCTGATTACCCTATTGTAGATTAAAGTATTCCTAATACAATTGATATACTTTGGTTGTATTGTCTTGGCCCGAATATAGCTTCTTAGCATGGTCCCACACCTCTTTGGCAGTATCAAGAAACATGAAATTTACACTAATCTTGGGTTCCATACTATTCCATAACCATGTGATAATCTGTGCATCTRYTTGCTCCCAATCATYATACTCATGAGAATCGGTGGAGGGTTTTTCGTCCCTTATGTGTTTCACATTCTTCTTTGCCTTAAGAAAGACTTCTACAGACTTAGCCCAAGGTATATAATTTTCTCCATTCAGCTTAATGGAGGTCATTTGAACATTTAGGTAGTCAGTAGGAACCATCACACTAGTCTTGCTATTACTACTGTCTCCCATTGTTGAATTATGGTATTGCTGAATTCGGCACACTAGACCACACTACACACTGATTTCAGCACTTACTATTGCTTTAAATTGCACTCTTTACACCACAAACCCTACCTCAAGACTACCTGAAACTTCACCACACTGTTTGAGGAACACTCCCCTTCGAATCACATTGAAAACTGCACAAACCCTAGCACACTACAATCTGAAATCCCACCATACCATCTAAAAATAGACTTATCGTTTAATTCACACCAAAAAAATGCATAGAACCTCTTACCTGATCACCCGAAAATTAGACCACACAAGGCATCCACTGCACCACACGAATCAACCCTCTTATCTTCATCGATTAGGGGAGGGCTTCTTAGAAATTGCAGCAACCAACCACGAACACCACAACTGGAGGCATAGAAACCTCCAAGGGAAGAGGGCGGTCACTCATTTTCAGCCCTTTCCCTTATCTCCAATTGATGGCGAAGAAAGCAAGAGAAAACGCTAGACTAGGTGCGCAAAGAACAGAATTCTAGGCAGATCCGATTTGCTCAATTTAGCTTTGATACCATATTAGAGTTTGGCCTGCCTGTTAGACTGATAACAGTTAAGGAAAAGAGAGAAGAGAGAGAGAGAGAGAGAGGAGAAGAGTAGAAGAGAGGACAAGGAGGAAAAAGGTTTGGTTCGAATGAGAGAAAAGCCAACCCTCCCATTCGGCCATATTTGTTTTATATTACTAAAATATCATGGAAAAGTCACTTGTGCCCCTACTTAAGTTAGGGACATTAAATCTAACATAAACTTACACATCGACACTTAACCATAAGCACAAAAACAGAAATACCCCTACATACTCGACACTAATAGTAGTGATGAGCTCCAATATGAGAAAACGTCAAATTCGACGTTTGCTCCAAACCATGCCTTCTCAATTTCTAAGACGTGATTTGGAATACCATTTTATGGAAAAACACCAAACATATTGACATTTTCTAGAGCACCGATTTTTCCAACGTGACGCTGATATGTCACTGTTTTCCAGAGCAATGACACCGGTTCCAAACACTGCACTAATCACACACTTCCAAATTTAAAAGTTTTAAACATATTATAACTCGCATGATTTTTTTTAAATATTGAATCGCCTTATGCCCCCATATAGCCCTATTTCATTGTTTCCCTTGATATAATACAGTATTTTTTTTTGCAACAAATAGTAATTCTTCTCAAAGTGTGGTGGAAGAGGCGATGGCCAGTTTGAAACCACATATCTTTTGAGACTACCCAGTTTACTTACCAAGGCACCATTCAGTTGGTTTACTCGCATTCATGATTAGTAAATAGCAAATAACATTGCTTTACGTTTTATTTTTTCTTTCTAAAGTTTGTTTCTTTCCCGATTTCGATTTTTGATCTTTCTAGCTAGTTATGACCTTGACCGGGTTGGCGATTATTTTTAACTCAGTTCAAGGAGTCACTAGACTCGTGACCTGATTTTCCATTTTCCAACTATGGTTTAAAATGTCGGCAATAATAAGGTTGCAACTTGGACTGGGTTGTTTAGATGCATGATAGTTGTATAGCCCTCATTACATACTATCATTTTTTTCTGTTAAGACAATCTATTCACTTAATCCCAAATGAAAATACTAAAACCCTAATGACATATTTTATTCTTCATCTCCTCTTTCATGTTTGCAGTCCATAAAAAATCTATCATAATAAGCTATGGTCATTTCAAACACTTAGGCTGTGTTTGGTTTGAAGGAAAAAGTAGGGAAAAAAAGGGAAACCTATACGAAGCTTGTAAATGTTTCTCTACCTTTTCCTTCAAACCAAATATAATCTTATTTTTTCGAATTTTGTATTAAAAGAATTAATAAAAACATCAATAACAAATACTAAAAAAACATAAGATTATATATAAATTGAGTTGAGATTCGAGATTAAATAGTTTTATGAGATTTTAAAGAATAGGAAGAAGGTTGGATTGAACCCAACCTGAAGTTAAGTTAGGGTTCAAGGAATTTAATTAAGGTTAAGATTAGTATTGGGTATATAGATTGAAAGTCGAATTGGATTAGGATTATGATTAGTATTGGGGCTTTAGAACTTGTGGGGTTGGGCTAGGATTGGCCTCAATCCGACCTAACCCGGCCCAACTTGCACCGCAATATGCAGAAGCAACTTTCTCGACTTCGGGCTTCGGCTGGTATGAATATCCGGTGGCTGCAGGGAAACACTCCGATTGACAACATGGGAATAGAAAACAGCAGAATAATTCCATTGTTCGACCTCTCTTCAAAAACCCATCCACGTAAGGATTCAAGGAATACGTATGCAGTTAGGCATAAGTGTTGAACAGTGATACTTATCACCATTCACCATTTACGGAGATCATGTTAATATCCTCTGTCGATGGTTCCAAAAGCTCTTAGTCGATGAATGTATGTAGTAGTGGCTTGGGAGAGTGGATTTTGACTTCATGATTCATGGCTCCCGGCGTCTCATCTCGGTTCCAGTTTCAGTTACACTCAGACCTAATCTACCTCTTCGGTTTCTTTTTCGCTCTTCACAATTTTGTTCTACGGTTTCTCATTATGATCACCAAAGCCCGATTGAATTTGGCCAAATCCTGTTCAGAATCAGCAGCAGTCGGAATAACAATAACTACTACTACAATTGCACAGTCGATAAATTCGATCATCTCCTCCAGCAGTGTACAACAGTTCAACAATCCAAACAGATTCATGCTCAGATCATTCTTTTTGGAACATATGGATCTGCATTCCTTGCTGCAAGACTCGTATCGGTCTACAGCAGATTTGGGCTTCTTTCTGATGCCCTAGAGGTCTTCCGCAGCGTACCCATTGAATGTAATTCTGGCGTACTTTTATGGAACTCCATTTTGAGAGCAAATATTTATCATGGGCACTGGGAAGAAGCTCTTAGCCTCTACATGCAAATGCGTAAGTTTGGTATTGCTCCGGACGGGTTCACTCTCCCCTTAGTTCTTAGAGCTTGTGCTTCCACGGGAAACTTGGTATTGTGCAAGAATATTCACTCCCATGCTGTACTGTTGGGTTTGCAGTTCCATCTTCATGTTGCGAATCAATTGGTCAATATGTATGGGAAAATTGGGCGAATGGATTATGCCCGCCAATTGTTTGATAGGATGCCTTGCAGGACTGTTCTCTCTTGGAATACTATGATTTCTGGTTTTTCTTTGAATTATGACTGTGATGGTGCTCTTGAGATGTTTGGGCGAATGGAATCTGAAGGTTTTGAGCCAAATCTTGTGACATGGACGTCCTTATTGTCAGCTCATTCTCGATGTGGGCAGCATGAGGAAGTTATGAGGTTATTTGACAGTATGAGAATGAGAAGCAATGGTTCTACTGCTGAAGCAGTGGCTGTGGTTTTATCCGCTTGTGCAAATTCATATTCATTGGACAAGGGTAAGGAGATCCATGGTTATGTTATTACGAGTGGATTCCAAGATTATGCATTTGTGCAAAACTCGCTTATATCCATGTATGGGAAACATGGAGATATTGAGGATGCTAAGAAGCTATTCTCTGAAATCAAAGTGAAGAGCTTAGTGAGTTGGAATGCAATGCTATCCTCTTATGTAGAAACTGGCTTTTGTGATGAGGCATTGGAGCTTTTCTCTTACTTGGAGAACACAGAGGACAACCAACTGCTCGGACCCAATTTGATAAGTTGGAGTACGCTCATTGATGGTTTATCTTCCAAGGGGCAGCGAGATGAGTCCCTGGAACTCTTTCGTCGAATGCTGCATTTTGGTGTCATGCCGAATTCAATCACAGTTGCCAGCATTTTATCAGTTTGTGCAGATTTAGCAGTGCTGGGTCTTGGAAAGGAGATTCACGGTCATGTGGTCAGAAGTTTGATGGATAAGAACATTTTGGTGGGTAATGGACTGGTAAATATGTATACAAAGTGTGGCAGTCTCAAACAGGGGCGTTTAGTATTTGATAAAATTGGAAGTAGAGATGTAATCTCTTGGAACACAATTATTGCAGGATATGGACTGCATGGATTCGGCAGGGATTCTATAAACACTTTTGATGAGATGATTAGAGCTGGATTCAAGCCTGATGGCATCACATTTGTTGCTGTTCTTTCAGCATGTAGCCATTCTGGGCTACTCAATGAGGGCCGTGGGCTATTTGGTCGGATGATGGATGAATTTATGATCCTTCCTCAAATGGAACACTATGCTTGTATGGTTGATCTTCTTGGGCGAGGTGGGCTATTGCAAGAGGCAAGTGAGCTTGTGAAGACAATGCCCATGGTGCCCAATTCCTGTGTCTGGGGAGCACTGTTGAACTCGTGCAGGATATATGGAAATACAGAGGTTGCAAAAGAGACTGCCTCTCAGATTTTCAGCCTTGAATCAGAGACTAGTGGGAGTTACATGTTGCTTTCAAATATCTATGCTGCATGTGGGAGGTGGGATGATTCTGCAGAAGTGAGGGTGCTAGCAAAAATGAAGGGTTTAAAGAAAAGCCCAGGGCACAGTTGGATTGAGGTGAAGAAGAAGGTTTATATGTTCTCATCGGGTAGCTCTTTGCCACCTGGTTTTCAGGAAGTTTATGGAGTTCTCAAGGATTTGTGTCAATATATGGAGAGTAAGGGTTACATACCTGACAAGAGTTTTGTGTTGCAAGATGTAGATGAAGAAGAGAAAAGGCAGATATTGTATGGGCACAGTGAGAAGCTAGCAATTGCATTTGGACATGCTAACATTCCTCCCAGTATGCCCATTAGGGTCATGAAGAACCTTCGTGTTTGTGGTGATTGCCATAACTGGACCAAGTTCTTCTCCAAGGTGACAACACGAGAAGTTATTGTTAGAGATGGACGCCGTTTCCATCATTTCATGGATGGGTTGTGTTCCTGCAATGACTTTTGGTGACTGTTCATCTTTGTCTGAGGAAAGTCATTGATACTTGCAAAGAGAAAAAAAAAGTTAAAACTTGCCATTATGTCGAATCACAATAGGCCTTAGGATGCCGAAGTCATGCTGATTGTTAATAAACTGTAATTTGATTGTCTTGAGCTTATTGAATCTGGATAAATTCAAATAGGAGGGAATCACTTCTAGACATCATTGTTTTCATGCAAACTGGTAAATTGGATTTAGGTCTTTTTTTCATGTACTGCAGTCATTATGAAGTAATACACTCTTTTTCCTAGCATTTAGCAGTAAAAATTAACAAGAATTCAGCAATTCATATACTTGATGTTTATGACCTATGATCTAACTTGTTTACAGAGGTTTACCTTTCAGGAGTGATAGGTAGACTTTTTGGTTCCTTGAAAGTTCTGATTGATTCTTTGAATGTTCCAGTTGGGGGTTGGAAGGTAATTGTGTGTTTGGAGATTGGTTCTTTGCATGTTTTGATGTTTATGACCTATGATCTAACTTGTTTACAGAGGTGATAGTTAGACTTTTTGGTTCCTTGAAAGTTCTGATTGGTTCTTTGAATGTTCCAGTTGGGGGTTGGAAGGTGATTGTGTGTTTGGAGAGTGGTTCTTTGCATGTTCTGATTATGGTGGGGTGTTAGTTGCCCTTTAGTTATTTCTTATCACAACCATAGTTTTCAAGGCGCCAAGGCGAGGCTAGGCGACAGGGGGGCACCTTGTCACCTAGTCGCCTAGGCGATGGATTTTTTTAAGTGAAAAATACATGTCCTAGGTAGTTCCCTAGGTTCCATAACCATCTTTCCTTAATAGCTATCCATAATTTTCATAAGAAAATTATAAACTTCATGTTTATGTCTAGAAAATCAACATATTTATGAGAAGAAAAAGAAGAAAGAAAAGAAAATTCAAAAAATATGGGGACTGAACCCCTATTTTTGTTATAGGAAAAGAAGAAAAGAAAAGGTGGAAGAAGAAGAAGAAGAAGAAGAAGAAGAAGAAGAAGGAAAAGAAGAAGACGCGGAGGAAGAAATGTGTTGATTAGACAAAACTTTAAGTTTTTCCCTTACTTATTGGTYCAAATTCTGAAGTCTTTGAGGGTTCAATACAGCAGTTAGCAATGTTTGTGTTGATTAAACCCTAACAAATAAGAAAATAATAAAAAAAAATTAGTTTATAAACACAAGAAATGAATATTTTTGTTTAATAATGTCTATTTTATAATTATAATCTAAAAAAGTAACAATTTAAAAGTATTTTATAAGACAATACAAAACCGCTAGGCGACTGGGCGAGGCGAGCCTCCAAGGGCGCCTCAAAAAAGTATTCCTCTCTCTCTTTTTTTTTTCCTTTTTTCATCAGTCATAACATGTATTTTTCCTTTCATGTGAACCACTTATATGTAGTAATTGGTTTTCTTTTAATAAGGAGGCATTTAGGAAACGCATGGAACAAAACTATAACATTTAATTCCTTAGAGCATTTAAGCCCCCAATACAAAAAAAAAGAGTAAAATGGTGTGGTTACTAGCATGTTAAGAAAAACCAAAATGAATACATTTCTTAGAATCCTAGGTTTTAGGTTCATTAACGGACTAATAGTGAATTTATTAAAACAGAACAAAAAAAAAAGAAGAAAACCAGGGTTGGCGTCTTATCTTTCATTAATGTTTACAAGAACATGAAATGCCTAGGTCATTATCATTTTCTGTGGGCTATCATTTTGTACTGATTTTCTCGTTCAATACAACGGTCCTTATGAAATCAGGCAGAATACCAGGTCATGGAAATATTATGCTTGAGGGCATAATGGGCAAGCCCGTGGGCATGAGGAAGCTTATCTCTGAGAAAGAACGAGAGAGAGAGACTTGCAATCTGAAAGAACAAAATGGGCCTTCCAAGGGGAGGGGGAGTTTGAAGATGGTGACAGAATAATATTCATAGCATCACTTTCTAAAATAAGACAAAGAGATTGCAAGTTTAAGAGCCTCAAGGATAGCCATGGCCTCAATTTCCTCAGGAGAAGAGCTACAAACTGTCGTAGCATGCCCAACGATGAAGTCTCCACAATGATCTCTTATGATACAGTCGATCGAAGCCAAACCAAGGGACCAGACACCATCAGTATGAGAGGGCTTAGTCCAATGCAGAGATTGAGGGACAGAGATGTGGTTAACCTGGGAAGAACCAGACTGAAGGAGAAACCTATCCAAATCAGCCAAGAAATTCCGGGACAGACCCAAACTGCATTAGAGGATTCCTCATCATAGTGAGAAATAAGCTTATAGCCTGAATTACGAGTAAACTGGCCGCTGGGAGTAAGAGACCAAATGATCTTGTCGCTGATAAGAGAGGGAAACTCCGGGATTTTTGTTTCCAAAATTTCACGGACAGTATCAGTATCAAAAGTCGAAGTGATGAGATTAAAATTCCAGGAGCCATAATTATCGAAGAGAAACACCATTTTGTTACATGGGATATTCCAAGAGTTTGGCTTATTGATCATTTTACTATTGATCCTAGGTTCATCGAAGATATGTGTTCCAACTTCCAACCATTGGATATAATCCATTTACAACCAGCAAGGAGGAACGGCCTACAGTCCAGCAAGCTAGACCAAAGAGGAGAGTCACCAGATTTTTTCTTTTGGCACCAAAAAGATCGATTATTCACATATTTGGCTTTCAGTAGCATTAGAATAAGAAAAGGAGAAAGTAAATTGCATTACTTGAATATAGTAATTACATTATATTTGTAGACTAAAATAGATCAAGCTTATTCAAACTCAAACTCAAACTCTTAGACTCTATCTAGGACTCTATGTAGTCTATTTCAATCAATCTCAAACTCTATCATAATATAACAAACTCTATCTTACTGAGAACTCCTAATGTAACTCTATACAACATCATCCTTATCATAACAGCCCATACGCTAATCATTATCTTAATTCCCTAACACGCCCCCTCAAACACATAGGGATCAGAAATCTTCATGTGTTTGATCACAAATGGTCGTAATATGACGATAGCTATGTAGATGATGATGATCTTGATGGTGTCATGATGTAAAGATGATAACAAGCCTATTGGAATGATGATGATGGGAAATGATGACCAGTTATATGATGGCATGATGAAAACCTATGATGATGTGTCCAACTGTGAAGATGATGGTGTGGCAAGTAATGGATGACTGGCTATGACAATCCCATGCCAAAATGGGCGAACACAGGCCATATTGAAGTTAGGCCAAAACAGGCCACCAATAGACCTCATTGGGTCAACTAAGATGCCACAATGGGTTGGCTTTTGGAGCCTATTTGAAATGCATGGGCCAACAATGGCCATAAAGACCTTCATAGGTCAGCGAAATTCCTTCAAAGGCTAAATCAAAGAAGGGCCACTATGGGTCAAACTAAACTTGATACTTGATGGATTATAAAAATAAATGAAATGAATATAATAGGCTAAATCAAAGAAAGGACAGTATACCTCCCAGTTGCAATTGTGTGGCGCAGGTGGTGACATTGGTATTGCAGTGTTCGGTCGGGACAAGGTGGACTAGTGTAGCCAGCTTGCGTAGGCTCCGGGATTGCGGAGCGTGGTGGAATGTTACAATCCATTTGTCCCATGTTGGTAGTATGAAATGCTAATGTGAGGTATCCCGCATCGGTAGCATAGGATGTTGTTGTGAGATATATATGTGATTGGGTTCCCTCCTTCTCACAACTAGCTTTTAGGGGTGAGTTCTCCCAAGGCACTAATAAAGTGTGATCAAGCAATTAATATGGCAAGGTGAGCTTGTGATTGTGTTTTTCTCGATCTGGTGATAGGAACTCTGATGGTTGCCTTGATGGCTTTCACATTCATAGAGCTAACAACAAACATGGAGGAGAAAATGATCTAGATCGAACTGATGGAATCTGCCGTTGCAAGCGGCAATGATGGAACAAGGGAGGGAAAACAGGAAGAAGAAAGAGGAAGAGAGAAAGAAGAGGGAAAAAGAGAGAAAGAGAGAAGGAGGAAAAAAGAACATGAGAGAGATGTAACCGGGAATAGGGAGATTGGAAAAGGTAGAAGGGTCGCCACTGGTTTGCTGTGTTTCAATGTCAAGAAGAAGGGGATAATGAATAGAGCGAAATTTCAGATTAAAAAAAGGGAAGGAGAGAAGCTGGGGGTCGAAAGGTTTGTTGCCGAGTCGCCGCTGCCGTCGCATTTGTTTGAACGAAAGAGGACATGAATAGTAGATTCGATTTAGCCAAAAACTTAGGTGTGTTTTATAGGTAGGGTTAATGGTAATTTTGTAATTTTGGAGAAGTTTAGGGGCATTTTCATAATTTCAAAAATTTAGGTCAAACCAGTTCCAAGGGGTCAAATCGGGGGTTCTGGTTCAATAGTGTGTGGTTTCGGGTAAAAAAATGGAGGGTTAAGATGAGTCTGACCACAGAGAGTGGGTTTGTGTGTGTGGACCCACGAGATTGGCCGAAATGGAATTTTTTTGGGTAAAGGGGTAAATTGGGGTATTTTTGGCTGAAATTTGGTAGGGTGGGGTTTTGGACGTTCTAGGTTGATTGGTGGGGTTGTATTGGGCCAACTAAGCTCAGATCGGGCAGATTTAGAAAAGCACGGGTTTGGTTAATCTAGGGCTTCGAAATGGAATCTTGGTGCGATGAAGGGGCAAATAAAGGAAGTTTTGGGTGAAATTTCACAGGGTAGGGTTTTTGGATTGTCTAAGGTGATTAGTAAGGTCAGATTGGGCCATCTGAGCACAGGTTGGAAGGATTTGGAATCCGGTCAATTTGGAGTCTCAAAACGGAATCTAGGTGCGATGGAGGGGTAAGCAGAGGTGTTTTGAGCTGTTACATGTGGGTATTTGGAGGTGTCTGGGATCTGATGGTGATGTCTGATTAGTCTTGGAGGGTTAAGATTGTTGGAATTTGGGTCAATGGAATGTTCTAGAATGGGATCGTGATTTGATGGAAGGGCAAATGGGGGAATCTGGGGTTGAAACTTTATGGGTAGGTATTTTGATGTATCTGGAGTTTAATGGTGTGATATGATTGGTTCAGATGCATTAAGATCAACAGAATCTGGGTTCCGAGTGTTTAGGCTAATGAGAGGCATCAGAATGGAATCTTTGCTTGATAAAGGGGTAAACAAAGGAATTTTGAGCTAAAATTTTACCGGTAGGTATTTTGAGAGGTCTTGAGTCTAGTGGTGGTGTCTGATTTGAGAGTAAAAGTGTAGACAGGGGTTGATCGGGGCCATCAGATTGGTATCATGCAAATTTAACTGTGGATTTGAGGGCTTTGGGGCTGATAGTTGGGCTTTTTGGGTGTTTCAGAGAGGTTGGATGGGTCCGATCGGGTATTTTGGGTAAATTGGAGGTTCAGGTGATGGATTGAGCAAAAATCGGGTGCTGACAAACATCATAGATAGAAGAAACAAGCAAATGCTTGTCCATATTTTGAAAGGAGACCCTATCAGAGTAAAAGAAATTATGGTAATAGGAAACAATAGTGTGTTCAAATTCATCAAAAAACAATAGTGTGTTCAATTACCTTCAAATCAGAAGTCCAGTCCAGTCTTCGTTGAAATCCTTAAGCCAATGGATACCATTCCTTGTACGCCTATTAGTAGCAGAAATATGGAAGAAACGTGTGTTCTTGTCCCCATGATGCAGCCAATAACACTTGAAGTGCTGCTTTCAATACATTTCTTCACGATCATACCATTGCTCTAGATCTGACCGGAGACAACTATCTTCTTCAAGATCCGAGACTGTCATAATATTGTTCTCAATTTCTACAATTATGGTCTGAATCTCCTTAATTTTCTTTTTAAAATTAGTTTTGGACTAATACCATCTATGGAGGTGAAGCTTCCCTCGTTTGCATTTGTCCAGAAAGGTGCCATGATCTGAATTCCAGAAGTGTTGAAGAGTAGAAGAATAGTCACTGAAGGAGGTCCAAATCGCTTCAAATCTATGGATGGGTCTGTATTTTTTGGTGAAGCCTGTCAGACTGCAAAGAATTGGGTTGTGATCAGTGATCACTATCAAGACCCCCTGAGAGACCCACGACTTCAATGCAGAAGTAATTATTCCACTCCAGAAAGGATAATCAAGGCTGCTGTAGTTATCCAGGTGGCATAGCTCTGAATTACTTGAACATAATTTAACAAAAAACTTGCTATTATATGCTTTAAAGCAAACATTAACACTCCATTGCAAAAGTGGGTATTATGGCTTTTAAATTTGAGTTGTGGATGAATTGTTGTTAGTGGTGATTATCATGAACTGTTGGTTGCTTGTAGGCTTACTGGTGTTGCCACAGAAATCATTCATACTACACGAGTCTTCAGAAGGCAGCACTCATTTCTCAATGTGGTTGCTAGGAGAGAGCTCAGGAAGCTCAGAATGGTTTAATCTGATCCTTTAGTAGTATGGTTTTCCATGGCCCAAAGTTGTAATGATTTATGCATTTCCATACATACAAATAATTGGTAATCATCTGTCCAAATTTTCTTAGGCTGCAAGAGAAACAGGGGCCCTAAAAGAAGCGAAAGACAAACTAGAAAAGCAAGTGGAGGAACTTACACGGCGCTTGCAGTTTGAGAAACGATCAAGGGTAGAGATGTCTTATCTTTTAGTGATGAAATTAAGCCTTTTGTGGCTATGGAGGCTATCCATAGAAATGCTATTACAGTAGATTTACAACATAGCTTCCCTTCATTCACTTACAGGCTGATCTGGAGGAGGCAAAAGCCCTTGAAATTTCCAAGCTATAGGATGCTTTTAATGCCATGCAAATATGAGAAGAGGCAAATGCCAAGGTTAACAAAGAACAATAGGCAGCTCGGAAAGCTATTGAAGAAGCACCTCCAGTCATTAAGGAGACACCAGTAATAATTCAAGATACAGAGAAGGTTAATGCATTAACTGCTGAAGTTGAAAAGCTGAAGGTAGAGCTCTAAGCTTGAATTAGTTATGCTATCTTATGGTCTTACTGTTACACAACCTATGTACCATTTTTTTGCCATCTTGGTACTACAGGATATTGTAAAAAACTAGATAATAAAAGGAAGATGGAGAATAAAAGAGGTGGGCAATGACCCGGTCGGTACTTGAGATGGTCAGTGGGTGTTATTCACTTATTCCTTAGCATGTTGTGTTAGTACAATACATACTCTCTCACTCTCTCTCTCTCTTTCTTACAAACACACAAGAACACATGCACATAAATACCTCGCAGTAAGGTATTGAAGTGCCTCGCAATAAGGTATTGGGTCAGGACTATTCAAAATTTGGCAAAATCCAAGCCCAAACCTGGTCCATGAACAGGTCTAAATGGATGTAACATCAAACAGAAAAAAAAAATGGTAAAACAGGATTCACAATTTCACATAGCTATGTAGTGTAAACATTCATAAAGATTTTGTTTCCAAGATCTACATTGTAAGAAAGTGTACATTTTAGAAGTTGAATGGTTCCTTGAGATGGTATTAGAGCCTGCTTAACCAAGTGATCTAGTGTTTAATTTTTGGGTGATTTGGTCTGAAAGGAATTATTAACACATCATGTATTTACAAATAAAATAGATAAAAGCAGGGTTTTTATGATATTGTCAATTTGGCCTTTTCTATTGATATTGTCCCAAATTTTGATCCATTTGCATATGTTCTCAATCTTTTGATCCGTCTTGCAGACTAACAATTATGACAAGCTGGAGAGTTTTTCAGCAGCTTGGAACATTTGCAAAAATTGGGATAAAGTTCTCTTAGGCTATGTTTGGTTTGAAGGAAAAAGTAGGTAAAGGAAGGGAAAGGTAGGGAAACCCTTACAAACTTTGTATAAATTTCCCTACCTTTCCCTTTTTTTCCCTACTTTTTCCTTCAAAACAAACACAACCTTATTGATGCGTTTTTAGTTAATAAGGATGAACAAGACTTAGATTGGTTTGGACCCAATCCGGTCCATATGCATGTTAATTGGATTGCAGTAGATGTTTCTGTATTTTTTAATATTTTCTGGTTTTTTCATATAATTTTGGTGTTTCATTCACTTTGAATTGGATTGGACACAACCGGGTCCATTTGCATGTTAATTAGTTTGGATTGGATTGGATTGCAGCAGATGTTGTAGTTTTTATCTATATATTTTCTGGGGTTCTTATGTTATTTTGGCGTTTCACTCTGGATTGGATTGGACCCAATCCAAGTTGGTTTGTATAGGTTTGGACTGGGTTGGGGCCAATCCATTTATAAATGGACCAATGTTGGATTGGACCAAATCCAGTCCAATTGACAGCCCTTCCGCACAATCCCCCATGTATTGCCATGTGTTCTATTTTATGACACCAGTCCCCTGGGTAGAGACTGAGGTTTCTCGCTTTTTGTATGAAAAGCTGTTCATTTCACAGGTTAGTAATTTTCCTATTTTCCGACATGGATTCCATCCACGGGTGCTTTGTTGTCCAAGAAAACGTGCCAGGGCCATGAACCAATATTTTTTTTTTATTCCATCAGAAAAACAAAGATATCCAGAGAAATCAGTTAAAATGGGAGTCATGGTTGAAAATGTCACAATTAGGGTGTGTTCTTTTTTAGGATTTTGAGAGGGGGGAAAGTTGGTAAATAACTTTTCCACGTAGGGGAAAGTTGCGAACATTTGAATGAGACAAAATTTTCCCTTTTAATCATTACATTTTATGGCTAAAATGGTCATTGCCTTATTTACATGGGAAGTAAAAGAACATGGGTAAATGCACTTAAGAAACACTTACTTGGGTAAGTGTATTTACCCGGGTAAATAACCTACCGAAAAGCGAATGGGGCCTTAATCACACATCAAATTTCTACTCAGATTACAAAACGTGAGTAGCAAGGTGCCAATTTGCTGGTTAATAAGATCTCTTGCTGGTTGTAGAGAAGGTTGTCTTGCACCAGGTTGCTGGGGGAATTATGGGTTTGGGGATGGGCTACCCCCATTTTATGGCTCCATGGAGCCAAAATAAATAAATAAATAAAAATATATCCAATAAGCACTCCCAACAGGGTATAGGGCTGCAAGTTGGGCTGACTGATTGGAAGAATTTCAACTGGGCTCTGGCATTGAAAATTTAATAATTTCTCAACTTATCTCTATCCAAGTTGTGTCCCTAACTATATACCTCTTCATTTAATTTAAAATTGCTGCTCAGAGTTCCTAAAATTTCAATTTAGGATATGACGAAGGCAGAAGTATGGGTGTCAATGGACCAATTTTGGATTGGACGGCATCTTGGATTGAACCAATTCAGTCCATAATATTTATTAGATTGGATTGGACCTGGTCCATCCGTAACAAATTTATATTGGATTGGATTGGATTGGATTAAGCTAATATCTGGTCCATTGATATAAGATAAGAATATATGTGTCTGGATCGGATTTGGGTTGAAACCAATCTAAATCAAAAATGAATTTGAACAGATTGGACTGTCCAGACATTGAATTGGACCGGTCCAAATTGGTTCAAAACATTCATTGGATTAGATTGGACCTGATCCATTTATAATAAACTCACATTGGATTGGATCAGATTGGACCAAATCCAGTCCAATTGACACCCATAGGCAGAAGGGCATAATTTGACATGTGATGACTGATGAGGGCTGTTGGACTGAAACTTGCGAATGAATAGATTGTAGAGTAATTCACTGTTAAAGTTTAACATAAACCTTTTTCTCTCATGTGTTCAAGGTAAGTTGAAAGGAGCTAGCTAGCTGTCCATGCAGGTGGAATCGAGTTCTATAGACTGATGATATGCTGCTATTTGAATCCTGTTTGATTTTCTTGTAGAGGCTGCGTACATGCTTGAGATGGACTATTGAACTATGGACAATAGGAGATTAACAATGGGATATGTAGTACTCAAAGGGAAATTGGTCTAGCTGTAAAGCTTCATTTGATGTGTACCTCACCAGAGACATCTCCTCTGTTGCAATCACATTTATCAATCAAATTTCCTGTAGAACTGCATAAAAATAGATCCCATTATCGAATTCACATGGGGGATATATAATTACTGTATAACCTCAATCTTAAGGGTTTCTGGGTTTGAGAATGGGCTACCCCCTACTGTCACTGTGTAGTCCATTTGCCTAGGAAAAGACAAAAGAACCAGCCAATTAATTAATTAGATATAAAAAAAACCCATTTCTCCCATGACCCATCCCGGTTGTGAGAAGCTAACAGTAATATATTCAAAAAGCTCAAGTACATAAAATTTTCTTGGCCCCGTTGACACAATGTTCCACGTTTGTGGTGCCTAGAATTGGAAATTCTATATCGAGGGGTAAAAGTGAAAAAAGGAAAACATCAGGATGTTGACCAAAGTTGAGACAACACTCTCTTTTATTATATGGTAATAATAGATTCTCTTCCTCTTTTTACTTTTCTCCCTTAACTTTTCTTTTCTTATGTGATCATACTTGCAATTTACTTGGATCATTAACAGAGAAAAATACAAAACATTATCATTGCCAAGTGAATCTGTTCAATGACAATGGTGGGTTCTGCAAATCGAAGGCTTCTCTAGAATTAATATATTATGAATGGGTGCTTGCCATGTTTCCGTATTAATTAAACCCAGAATGGATGAATGTCCGCTCAGTTAGTTGTGTGGTTCAGGCTAAGAGACTAAAGACTTTAACAGTGAGAGGCTGGCTAGGATATAGGGAAAGCAACTGCGTGGGCAACCATTAAAGGATGGGCGGAGAATATTGGTGGATATTGAACCTAAGCTGCTGCCAGTGCTGAGATCAGTCCATCTTCCTTGGTGGGATCCAGGGGAAACAGCTGCATGTGCACTAGGATGTGGCATTGGCAAAGCCTTTTTTGTACACTAGTCTGGAATTTGCCTCATCTTGATTTCCGTGACAGTTTGTGTGTGTCTCAGAGAGAGAGAGAGAGAGAGGCGTCAAGTCAAAGATGGGATAAAGGTAGAATTATTGTATCGATATATATGCAAGAAACTCGATTCTAAACATTCTTTAAGAAGACTACATGGGTCAACTGGTATTTGGCCTTTAAATTTACTCACACACATAACAACGAGAGAGAGAGAGAGAGGTCAGCATGCATCGTTTGTTTGTAATTCATCCACGAGACAAAAAGCAGAAAGAAAGCATAAAAGCTTAAAAGGATTGGTTGGGACGTTAGGTTTTGGGTTTGGGATGTGTGTATTTGCTGGCCAACCTCTCACCTTTGGGATTATCTGCCTCGACCAGTCGGCCTTGATCCTCAACCCTGTGTATGCTTTTGTATATATAACTGGAGCGTACAAGATAAGAAAAGAAGGGACACCAAAGTAAGGAAAGCAGGAAAAGTGAGAGAGACGAGCACTTTAGTATTTTTACAAAAAGGATTTACGTTTCTACTCTTGGTCTCTCTCTCATCACTCGCTAGCACAGACCTGGATGTTGACAACAGTAAGATTTTTATATTGCTAGATAAAGTGAACACAAACAAAAGATCAAAGTAACGAGTTGAGGATTCAGAGTTCAGATACAGAGGAATCCCTTGTTTTGTTTCCAAGCAACAAAACAGAAAATTAACGAATAATAATGTCACTAGATGGCAGCAGCCTCCATTCAGGGCTCAACATCATTTGATCAAGACTGAGTTTAGAGATATATAGATGCAGCAGGTGTATGAGTGTATCAACCCGTTTGTCACCAAACTCGCAAGTCGCAAATAAAGGACAAAGATCGATAAAAGGAGATTAGATTAAAATTTGTGCAGCACCCAAACGATAAATAGGACAAACGTAACACTTGGTCCCTCCTCACTTTCTCAGGGAAGGGAAGTTGCACCTCAAACTCAAAATCAACTGACCACCTGAGAGTTGGGCAGCAAACATACATGCAGCATGCGCTTGTCTTGTTCAAGTATAGAGGGAGGGTTTCTACTTTCTAGTAAAAAACGAGTTACCCCATACTAGATAGAGTTGAGTTTTTCTCTGTCCCAGCGACTCAGTGAGTTATCAGTTAATCAGGGGGATATGGAGAAATACAAAAATAAGGCCAATGTGCTTGGCATGATCAAATTGTCTCCTAGCTAGCTAGACCTGTCAATGGTCGGGTCTAACCAACGGAACCGAACCAACCAGAACAGTCGAACCGATTGTGTCAGTTCTGGTCTTTGGTTTGTGACTTGTTTTTGTGTCAATTAGGTCAATTGGGATCGGTTCTTAATTTTTATTCCAAACTGATTATATATATAGTTAGGTAGGATAAATTTTATAGGCATAAACAGTGTATAAGATAATTTTGGTTAAAAACACTTGTTTTATCAACATATGAAAAATTATATTATAAAAATGAAACCTCAAATTGGTCCAACCCTGTCCAGACCCAGACCCGCATGATCGAAACGCCAGCCAAATCAAATGAACAGTGTTTGTGATAGTACTCACAGCTGAAATAATTAATGCCGGCCGGTCCCCTGAATTGTTGGAGTATTGCTTATTAATGCATCCAACGACTATATATATATATCAATTTAATTCAATTATCAGATTACCTTCACTACTTTAGGTTAAAATTAAAACTAATTATTTTATATGACTAAACCAATCTTTTAATGTAATATAGATGCCGAATAAATTTTCTCTTCCTTTCTTTCATACGTCTCTCTCCGACATCAAATTCATTGGAATTTGGAAGGGAGAATATTTGATTTCATATTCTCTAGATACAAAAAAAAAACTTATATTCAAAGTTCCATGCCAAAAAAGCCCATCTGCCCAAAACTTATTAATTCTTGGTCATTGGAATGTTCTCCTACCTAATTAATCTATTCACTTTTTATTTGCTAGACGAAGCAGATTAATATTAACCATAATAATAGAAACACCTTTGTCAATGGTGCTCTTGCACCGAATTTTGACTCAACAACCTAGCCTCCAAAGATTTAATAGCTGATGATCTTTCTAATGAGTCCAAACTCCAAACATTTGAAATTTATATTACCAAAACACAAAGACACACATACATTGGAAACTAGTTTGCTATATGAACTTAAAAGGGTATTAGGCTGAGTTTGGGAGTGCTTATTTGAAAAATAAATGCTTAAAAATAACTGTTTATTTTAACAAGTGCTCATGAATGTTTAGTGAAAAATCATTTTTTTCAGACACGGGTAGTATAAATACTTTCAAAATGATGTTGTAGGCCAAGACAGGCCATAAAGGAAATAAACACTTAAAAAAAAGACCCAAATTCTCAGGGCTAAGTACTTAATTATTAGTGTGGTCCTGGCCCAAAATAAGTGCTTATTAGAATAATCGCTTATTTTTAAGCACTCCCAAACTTAGCCTTACTCTTATTTCTCATTTGCAAATCATCTTCGTGAGAGAGATTTTCTTAAACACTGCTTTTTGATAACAGCTGAAGATGCTGAACTGAAAAGCTTATTGCTTTGTCTTTTAGTAAATAAGTTTTTCTCCTTCTGGCTAAAACTGAAATTGGATATATCATTATATTCGTGAAAACTTTATTATTTAATTATTTTAATAACTAAAAGACAAAGCAAAAAGTCTTTCAGTTCAACAACTTCAATTGTTCTCAAATGCCCCCTAAAGATTTAGTTTCTATGAAATTCATTAATCTTCTAAAGTAAAAAGGGAAAAATAATTTTTCTAGCAAATTTAAGTATCCTATTGGATCCTGTGATATTCTTAAGACTAATGCTATTTATTGAATCCAATGATATGAAATATTAAAAACAGATATAGTTAATTTATTAAATCCTCTATTTCTTTTTTTTTCTTGTTATATGCTATAATAATATATAACAATAATATGAATATGGAGAAGAACAAGGGATTTAGTTATGGATGAACTAATACAAAGAAACAAGTAGGGATTATTCGACAATTACTTCCCAAATCCTTAAAATTAGCTTAACCCCCCACTTGAACTCTCTTGCGCTATTAAAAAAAAAAAAAAACTTTAAGAGTTCAACTAGGGTACATTCATTAATATCGATTGCACATTAAATCTAGATTTCAACCAATTATATTAAAGTCGGCTTACTTTTCATTGGTTTATACCTTATAAAGTGTACTTTCATGTTTAACAAGATATACTTATCATTACATTCAACCAATCACTTTTTTTAATGTACAGTGCAGGGGATGCACCATAAGTTTTGCCAAACTTAAAACTTTAAATTTCAAATATATTAGAGAAAAACTGACAAATAAAAAAAAAAAGAAAAGAAACTAAAAGAAAGAATAGAACAAGAAGACAATAGAGGATTCATAGAGATGCATGTATGCAAAGCATGTTTGGGTCTGGGTTAGTTGTACTGATTTTGAGCCTGACTACCGCTACCTTACAAACATCTCAGTTATTGTCACATGTACAATGGATCAGGTCTCATGACTTTCATCTTCTCTGTCTTGCACTATTGCACATGCAGACACCATCCTATAGATTATGCTTATAGAGTTATATTATAGTCCCTTTAGAAAGAAAATATGGACGGATTTAACTGATAAGTAATTAAGCAGGCAGAAACCGACCCGAATTTACCATCTGGGGTTACTCAATCCTGATATATCAAGCCAGAAAAGGGGAGGGCTCATATGGGCCGGTTAGTCCGCTAAGAATCAAATGAATGAGGTGAGGAGAACAGTGATAATGGGGTAAATCCAATAGTCTGATGCGTAGCGCTTTAATTTTACCCGTCATATTTCCCTTTTTAACTAAGCACTCGTAATGAAGTAAACAATCGGTAACATCTGATTGAAATGGATTTTGGACCACCTAGCTATCCAGATCCAAATTAGGTGGTCCACTAATTGTGTGAACCTGATTGCATGTCTGAACCAAGCTCAGAACAATCCACGATGATGTTTTCATTATTGGTGCTAATGTATATACAAGTGCAAAAGAAAAAAGAGTTATTAAGCATGATTAAGCTAAGTGACTGACGCTAGAAAGAAGGAAAATGCTAGCTAGAGACTCTTTGCAGGTTTCTTTCTTCTTCTTCTTCTTCTTCTTCTTCTTCTTCTTCTTCTTCTTCCTTTTTTTCTTCTTATTACTAATATATAGAAGCCCAGATGAATTACAAAAGAAATATTAATCTCCTCTTACCGAGAAAATAGATAAAAAAAAAGATACAACTCAATGGCGACAGAAATACTAGGTCTATGAAAAGTAATTAACTAGCTAGCTCCCTTTGGGAGGACAGAAAAAGAGAGAAGAAGAAAATGACGGAAGAGCTAGGTAACTAACCTGTGGTATAATCGATCAACCAAAAAGATAAAAAATGGAGAGAAAAATATATATAAAAGAACAAAAACCTTGAAAGCTAACCTTGCCACGGTTTTTGATTCTGCTGAGACTGATCATATGGAGAAGAAGAACTCATGCAGTGATCAAGACCCGCCATGTTGAGAATATCTCTGTGAGAGAAAGCTCTAAGTCCCAAGAAATCTCTTGTCAAACCATCATTCCCACCCGCTCCACCTCCCCCACCACTGCCACCACCTTCATTTCTACTGAGGTGGTGGGTTGTTGACGTAGTCTTGGAGAGAGATTCATTGGGATTTCCATCTCTTTTCGAACTCAACATCCCAAAGGGGTCTTCATCAAAGGGAGGCCCATCAAACCCAGTTGCAGAAGAAAGAGAAGTCATCATGTCTTGAAGAAGAGAAGGACCTCCAGCTCCTGCAGTTGCAGATACGTGGTCAATAAGGCCAGAAACTACACCAGCTTTACTCCTAAAAGTAGCCAAGCCATGAACAAATCCACTTTCCATCTCTTCACGTGAAGACAAACAAAGACCATAACCAGTTGTAGTTGTAGGAACAGATGTAGCAGTGTTACCAGTAGTAGCAGGCATGTGAGTTTGGTGGGGTCTGAGCATTGTTGACGAGGAGGGTTTGCTCATTGTTGCACCCATCTGAGCTGCTTTTTGCAGTAATGCAGTTGCGGACATATGCGGGGATGCTGATGGATTGTAAGGCGGAAGGGAAGGAGTAGGATTAGGATTAAGGTTTTCATGATGTATTGAGGGTTGCGTCCGTGAGAATTCTTGGTCTATCCTCGTAGAGAAGAGTGATGAGGAGAAATCAATAGGCGGTGGACCTGGCCCAGCTCCTACTACGGATGAGCAAGCTAACCATGGCGGTGTATCCGACCTCAGATTGAAAAGCTGCTGCTGCTGTTGCTGCTGTTCTCTTTTCAGGGATAGTGCTTGAAGATCATGGTTATTAATTAATTGGGGTTGTAGGTTTATGTGTGATGTTGAAGAGCCAGGTTGAGGGGCAAGAAGTGGGTTCGTTGTGATTGCTCTTGCACTCTCTTCTGCTAAAGCATCACAGAAGGCTCTGTGAGTGATGAAACTATCCCTCCTGCAACCAAAAAACAAACACAAAATACCAAAAGAGAGAGAACCGTCACAAATTGCTAATACAGTGCAAAGACAATCTATATATGTGTTTTGTTTTTGTTTTTGTTTTTCTTTTTCTGTTTCCATTTTCTTTTTTTTTTCCCTCTCTCTCTCTCTCTCAGTGTACAGAAGACATAGCAGGTTTCATCGTTAAAGTATCTCTCTATTGCCACGCTTTTTCTTTCTATAGACTATAGCTACTACTCTCTTTCTCTCTCACACTCACAAAGGCACAAACGCACGCTCGCGTACACGCACAGAACTGAATAACTTTTTCTATTTTTTTGGTAGAACAGAATGATGGGTTGATATAGGTAACTTACTAAGCTTGAATCATCGATTTCATTCTTGAATTTGAATCATCGATTCCGTTCTCTATTATTCCTCTCTCTCCCTCTCTCTCTCTCTCTCTCTCTCTCTCTCTCTCGTATTGGATCGATCCTAATGAACAAAATTCAGGCATATATAGTTCTTATTGGAGTTATCGTTTTGATAATGATATATATGATCGGGGTTTGGTTTCATTTTATTCTTCTTACCTTGAGAAAAGGGTTCCACAGTCACATCTGTACTCTCTTGTGCCACAAGTCTTGGAGTGAGCTTTCCAATCTGATTGAACCGCGTAACGTTTTGAACACTTATCACATTTCCACTTCTTCTCTCCATGCTTTCTGCAAAAGTGCTTCTTGATCCCTGTGAGGTCTCCTAGAGCCCTTGATGGGTCGTGGTGCACACATGTAGGTTCTGGGCACACATATACTCTCTTCTTTACCTCTTTGCTTGTTCTTTGCTTAAGCTTCCATGGCAGATTATGCCCTCTTCTATGAAGCTGAAGGTTCTGGTCTCTCTGAAACCCTTTGCTACAAATCTCACAAACGAATCGATTTGTTGCCAAGAGAGCCTTAGGAGACAGAGCTATCACTTCTGCATCCGGGTCTGATCCCAAACCAAAGAAAAACAATAGAAAGTACAACAAGAATATGATCAATAAGGAATTAATTGAAGATAATAAAACATGGAGTTTAGTTATTAAATTGGGACCTGGGTTGCCTGGAAGGTTTCTCTTTTTCTTCACGACTGGCGTTTGATTTGGTGAGGCAAACGACTGTTGAGGGTACATGGCGCCTGTTTCAGCTTTGTTGCCTGAGGAAACACTTGCTTCACCAGATGCAGATGTCAAATTAGACATGTTCTCCTGATCAGCAGCTGGGTGTTGCTGGATTATGAAGCCCTTCATCATCTTCTCCCTCGTATGTAATTCAAGGGTTTGGTGGGTAATGACTGCAACTCTATGGTTCCTTCATAAGCCACAGATCTTTCAACAGCTACTTAAAAGGTTTTCTTAGATCTAAAGATAAAACCTAATTTTAGAAAAAAAAGGTAACCAGTAAAATGAGATAAAACCAGGAAGAGAGTTCACTTCAATCTTTCAAGTAGTCCACCCTGTGATACCTATACTTGTTCAGTTGCTTGGTAGTGGTTCCTAGTTTCTTTTGCTTCAAATGAAATGTAAGAGATAATTACTTCCTGCAAGGGGAAGAAGAAGAGGAAGAGGAGTTGGAGGACGAGAAAAGTTAGGGTGAAGGCAACTAAGTGGAACTGCACCAGACCATCAAGCATCTATCTTTTCCTCCATGTTTCAACAGCGACCTTGCTTTCTGATACCAGCAAAACATTCAACAAAAGCCAGAGAGACGGAAAAAAAAGAAAGGAAAAATGAAAAATGAAAAACGAGAGAGAGAAAGAGAGAAAGAGAGAGAGAGAGAGATGTGGATGAGAAGAGATATCCCTCTGTAATCCTCCAACCTTTCTAAAAACCATACCCCCCAAACCACAGCGCAAGCCAATAGGCATACACTGACGTCCCACTTTCTGTCTTTTCTTTTGTTCTCTTCCCAAACCTCAGAAAAATCCCTCTCTTTATTTTTATATTTTGCTTTTTGCAATATATTTTTTAATTCTTTTTTCTTTAATCACATCGCCTTTCCCTTCTATTAAAAAGTAGAAAAAAAGCAATCAACTAAAAAAAGAGAGTATGATTTGCACAGAGAGACAAACTGGGGTGGTTTATCATGTCAATATATATATATATATATATATATATATATATATTTATACTGTATGGGTGGTAGAGTTAAAAGCAATCCTTCTCAGCTTTCTGCATTTACACCAACATGATTGGTTCATTGATTGAACCCAGCAGACATGCTCATGGAAAACAGTTCTCTTTCAATCTCGTTCTTACAAGTCTTTTCTTTATTATCACAACATAACAACAATCAATCATCATAATCGTTGAAACTTGAAACCCACCACCTCACCCTGTTCAAACTTACCTTTACTTTTTTTTTTTTATGTACATATATATTTTTTTGCACGTATTTGTATATTTCTTTTCAGATTTTCAAGCGAGTCAAACCCGAGTTTAATTTGGACGATCTACTCTTAATGAGAGCATGGGTCAAATACAGAATCTGCTGTTGTGGAGTGTTATCCAGCTTATGATTACAGCAAATAGAACAGGCAACGATTTGCCCCGAGTTGAACTCGTTTCCTTCTCATCTATTCATGGCTAACCCATATAATGATATAATAGATATATATAGAGAGAGAGACTGATCACCCCATGTCACTAATTAATTGTAAGACCCAAATATGATTAATTAGTGGTTTATCAAAAAAAAAAAGATTAATTAGTGAATAGGCAGGCAACTAGGTGTACAAGGTGCAGATTTAAAGCCCTAAATGTCGTCAAATTGTCAACGCTCTGCGCTTTTAATATTAGAACTACCGTTTTAATAGTTTCCGCGTGGTTCAATTAAATCTGCATTGCTTGCTCAACAATGGGCTCGTAATATAACAAACAGTACTCTTGCTTAAATTAATTAATAGAAGAATTAATGTAACATATATAATATAATAAATATTATAAAACACACAGAATTACGAAAATATGAAATAAAAAATAATAAATATAAAAGTGAGTTGGTATGGAGTTACACTGTCTTCCGGGTTCCATGTTTTCTAAGGCTTTGTGTTCCCCTCACGAAACAAAAAGGAATAAAAAAGTAAAATAAATTATCCCTTGTTTTTTGTCATTTTCTTGCTTTATTATTCTGTAATTTAATTTTCAAATGGGTTATAGGTATACCAATATGCGCTCCCAGTTCATCACACCATGTTTTGTGATTAATTAATTCTCTTTTCTTATTAAAATATATTATATATTATAAAATTTATTCTAACAAAAGGTACCCCACGTGAAATTCCTCTTTGTACTCTTATATGGATTTTGATATATCAATATTCCCACCCCCTAATTTTACTAATTTCACTCTTATATATCTTTTCCTTTTTTTTTTTGTTTGGTTTGGTGTTGGGGGTCTTGCACTCTTGGGGGAGGGGGGGTGTGTCAATTGTCATTTGATTGTGTTGATATTCAAAGTGAAAAATCCAGGGATGCCGGAGAGGAGATGAGAGCAAAATAGCAACTGGGGAATTGAAGGGACGAATCATTCTCGATATTGTGATAATTGTCCTCGATCTCTTCCTGTCAAATTTCAATTCTGGGCCAACGACGATATACCAGGATGCCTCCTTTAGTACAGAATGATTCAATTCGGACCATTGATTTTGGGTACACCAACTCCTTACGTATTTTTTTTGTATTGTAGGTCAGATTGCCACATTGTCTCTAGGGAGTTGAATTCAGGGAGTAGCATTCAGACGTTGTTCACTAGTAATACTTATTAAAACGTTTTGGATTCAAATTGAGGAAAAATAAGAGAAATAAGTGGTGAGATTTGAATGGGTGAATGAAGACATATGCTGTGTTATGGTATGGAAATGTTTTATATCGTGATGATTCTGGGTCTGGGCTATGGGGAAGCTTTACTCAATGAGACTGGCTTCATGCAGGAGTACTGTCCCCGATAGACAAGCCATCAGAACGGAATAATGAGATATGGGTCCCACAGCATATTTATTCTGATCTAACGTTTGGATACGGCACACCCCATCAATTTCCCACCAATCATGTGGGGTTTCTGGGTGGACATGTCAGCAGCAACGCGTGGCAAAGTAAGAGAAGAGAAAAAAAAAAGCTGAGTACACAGCAGTAGGAGTAAGTAAGGTCAAAGCAAAGCAGTTTATTACTAGACACTGAGTGAGAGAGAGAGAGAGAGAGAGAGAGGTGAGATGGTGTGGTGGGGCCGGGGGAGGGAATACAATGCAATTGCCGCGAAAGAGGAAGAGAATAATCTGTTTGTCGTGTATGGGGCACTGGGAGTTCACGAGCAGGTATAGTGAAGCCCACGTAGGTCCCACTCTAAATGATTGTGTGATCAGACACCCACACACACACTAATTCAAATTCTCTAAAGAACCTTCCTGATCAATTTTTGCTTGGCCACGTGTATGGTAGAGATGGAATGGTTTAGGGGTCCATCGATGTATGTATGAAGCGTTACATCTGAGTGGGTACAGTAGATGGTTTGTTTGGCTACGGCCTACAGAGAGAGAGAGAGAGAGCGTAGAAAGAGTTCGCCTTCCCGGCCTTTTCTTCTGTCGCCTTCCGATCTGCGAGTGCGACCCCACGAAAAGGACGACTGCAAGACGACTCTGTTTTCTTTCTTTTTTTTTTTTCTTATAAAGAAAAGACGATTGTTTTTTTCCGACACGTACACGTGTTCTCTCATCATTGGTCAGAGTCAGAAATTCAGAACAGCCAGACATGCAGAATGCGTGAACCGTCACAGCTCTCTCTCTCTCTATCTGACGGAGTTCCTTGCCAGAACGAGGCGCCAAAATTCCTTTTGACACCTGTTTTCAGCTCTTATGTGGACCCCAAACGACATTGACACGCACCGGAGAGAGAGAGTCAAAGCAAGCGTCGAGCGAGGAAATGTTATGTGCCGTGAGATCAAACCGAGAAAAATGCTAGGCCGGTGGGAAGGAGGAGGACCACCACCAAATTGGTGATTTTGGGGGCGGTGATACACATGGGCCCACTGCGGTGCCGTATGAGGGAAAGCTGCTAACTGGGGGCCCATAAGAAGAGATGCCGCACAGGCACAGCACCACAGCACCAACTCGACTTCGACCAACAAGTAACAACAGCCCAACACAACAGGTGATTCGCGCTCACCTCTGTCAATATTCATTATTCAAAGACCGACTACAAACAAAAGTTGCAAGTTAGGGCCCATGGACCTTGCTTTTAAAATTTAAAATTTGGCCCAAATTTCTTAATTTTCTAGTATTTTGTTTTCGTAAGGCTGCGTTTGGAAACGATACAAATAGAGTATAAATAAATTTGCACTCTAGTTCAATTTTACTTGTATTTGGAAATATTACATTTATGTATTGATAAATGATAGATCAATGTATATTTACATTGATAATAAGATGTAAAAGTACATCAACAAAAAAAAAAGTAAATTTCCATTCAAGTGGGCCTTTGATAAAAAAAAGACATATGCTTTATTAGAATTTGTGTTTGCATCCATTATATTTAAAAGTCTGTTTAATAAGAAGATAAATTTGTCAGTACAAAACTAACCCAACTTTGTAATTTATATGGACCGTTTTATATATTACATATTTGCATCGTTTCCAAACACAACCTAAGTTACATTTAGCTCTAATTTATTCCAACCAAAATTTCAATTTATTTTGAAATATTTTTAATAAAAATTCTATTTGAACTAACCAAACAAACTTTTAGTTTTTAATGTATTTTCGTGATTATTTATTTCAGATTTTTGAACATTTTAAATATTTTCCCATGTATTTTTTCATAGCAAAAAAAAAAAAGTCCTTTTCGTTTCGTTTTAATAAAAAAAGACTAATAACCGAAGTTTTGGGTTCCGAAAACCTTGACTTGGACTTAAAAGAATAGAATAGAATACAATCCCAGCTTGCCCCTTGATCTGATCAATACATGTTCTTTTTCTCAGCCGGCCGGCCCCTTTCTCTTCACGCTACTTGAAATATCATAATCATTAAGGTTGTGTTTGGATTGTGGGGCAGAAGTAGAAAAGTGGCATGAATTTCACAATTGAATTCGATGGGATGATGGCAATGACTGACTTTTACTGGTCAGTCGTTCCATTTTCCATAGAATCAACCAAAAAATGCGGCTAAAAGTCTGCTGTCGTCCACGCTTTACTCCTTTGATCTTGCAAAAATTCTTTCTGCCTATGGTTTTCCAATTCCGCTGCAACTCAAATACAGCCTAATAAACAAACAGGGGATTTCTCTACCAAGTGAGTGTTTACAGTAGCTAGCAGTAAGGGTGTCAATGGACCGATTTTGGATGGACCCCGTCCAGTCCAAAATCAATTTGGACGGATTGGATGGACCAACAAAATATATTGGATTGGACCAGTCCGGTCCAAAATATTTATTAGATTGGATTGGACCTGGTCCATTCGTAATAAATTTATATTAGATTGGGTTGGATTAAGCCAATATCTGGTCCATTGATATAGGACAAGAATATAGGTGTCAATGGACCAGGTTTGGGCTGAAACCAATCTAAATCAAAACAAATTTGAACAGATTGGATGGTCCAGACATTGAATTGAACCGATCCAGAATGGTCTAAAATATTCATTGGGCTGGATTGGACCTGGTCCATTTATAATGGATTCACATTGAACTGGATCTGATTGAACCAAATCTAATCCAATTGATACCCTTATCTAGCAGGAATATGTACTGTTGTAAAGTTGTAAAGAAATATGGCTTAATAGCACAGGGAATCCAAAGTTCAGGCAGGCAAGGTACCCTCCACTTCGCCAAAGACAATAGTTTACTATTATAGCTTGGCGCCTGGCCGTTTAACATAGAAACTGATGAAAGACAAAGTTGAAGAAAAGTGCTTCTGCTTTTTAGCTCCTTTAATAGATTGTCATTGTCTGGCTAGGTATACATTGTCATTGACCCTTTTATATTATATATGGGAGTGAGGGAGGAAAAAAGAAGCCCTAATAAGGTCTTCCATTTTCATGAAATGAAAAGAATATTATAAAACTGGCTCCAGTATATGGTGATGTACAGTGGATGATCAGATTTAACTAAATGGGTAGTCATAGCAGGTACAAAATCAACAGTTTCACTTCACTAAACATTTCTGGTATTTTTTCATTTCCACACCACTGATAAAGAATCAAAGTTTGCACTCCCTCTCTCTCTCTCTCTCTCTCTCGATTTAATCATTTAACTACTTCCAGTTAGGACAGGAAAATAAACCGTACCAGCAATTATCAGGGAACCCATTGACCAAAACAAGCACTTTCATCTAAGAATATCATATGCAACATCCCCTTGTCAACTTCACGCGCACAACACAGGAATTGACCAGGTAAAACTTTGTTTGCTGGCCAAAAATACAAATAAGAAAAAATGTTAGCTCAAGATCTTGAAAGTCCAATTGGCATTCCAAAACTTCATTTCGTCTCAAAATAATTGTGTTTATTGAGGAAAGAATGGCCGACAGTATGACTGAAATTACAACTCTAAAGCAGTATTGGAATACGAAGCCCATCATAGCTCAATTGTACATCCAAACCCTCCGTTTCCATTAACCCTCTGAGTTCCTCGTTCACTTTATCATGATCCATTAGATGCATCATTCCTGTACATGTAAGTTCAGGAGAGGTTCAGAAGAAATAAATTGTTTTGTTTCTCATTTAAGGGGTTTTCGCCAATATATATTCAATGACTATACCTCCTTAAATTTCACAATAACACTTGAGCCAAACAGTGCTAATATTGTGTTACAAAAATAACAATGAATAAATTAAATGAACATAAACTAAGGTGGATTGGCTTTGCCAAAGTAAGGACAGAAACTGGACATTAGGCAAAAGACAAATACCCATGGGAAAAGTTATTGGCTACCACCAGGTCGGAGGAATTGTGTCTGAAAAATGCATTTTTCAGTTAAGATTTAGGGTTTAAGGTCAGGGTTTAAAGATTTTGGTTTAAGGTTTAGCGTTAGAGTATACAAGTTTGGGTTTTTATATAAAAATCAAGTGATCGGACACTTTCATCTGACCATGGTAGGAATGAATATGTGCTCTACACATGGAGTCTGGAGCAATGAATCTTACTGGGTAGAAAACACTAGAAAATATAGATAAATAACAAAAAGTAGTAGAAAATATTACACCAAGAAGTTCTATGCTTCCCCTTTTTCCATTTTTCTTGTTCTTTTTGACAGTCCATCTTGTTTCAAATGAGTTTATGTAAGGTTCTTTGTGAAGCTAAATAAAAAGCATAGGAGGAAATACTGAGTATTAATTCAGTGTGGCAAGCTTCATGATACAGGATGTGCATTATACTCCTGAGTGGATAAAATTTGGCAACCCTAACATGTATCAATTACATTTAGAATGTCAATAAACAATTATCCAGAAAAAAAAACACTCTTGATATTACAGTAATATGATTTGGCCAAGTTCCTTGATGGGTTAGGTGGTCCCTTAAGCCTTTTTTTTTTGATAGATGGTGGTCCCTTAAGACCTCTACATTTAATGAGGGTCAAACCAACTTATTTCTCTTTATACAGATTTTATTAATGAAAAATTACTTCATGCTACGTGCCTTCCACTAACAAACAACTGAGTCTCAATTGATTGCAAACCACTTAGACATTCATATTACACCAACTCTTTGGTGCCTAACACACAAAAGGGAGCTAATACCTAGACATACAGCAAGTTACGAAAAAATTTCATAAAGAACAATTCACATAAGAAATGTTTTCTACAGTTCTAGTTCATCTTACAAATGATTCTCAGTTATATGGTAAATATAGATCATAGAAAAGGTGGACGGAAATGGAAAATATATTAAATGACTTGATACCCTTTGTTTAGAAGAGACAAAATCATTGAACTAATAATTTTGAACAGGATTTTATAATATATTAAGTCTTTTCCAGTGTAAGCTTGTCTTACACTGTCAATCCCAGGCCTGGATAAAAGAGGGTTGCATACTTGCATCAGGTTGGCAGCTGGAAAACTTTTGCCAAACTCTCATTTTCTAATATATTAAGTGGGATGCATAACTTTAGGGAAGTGGTTATGGAGATTTTTGGTGAGTAAAACAGCCAATGCCATTAAAACATGAAGAGCAAGTATGGTCTTCAAGGTAGTGGGTGGGAGGCTGATCCTGGAGATAAGAGCAAAACAACCAGTGCCATCATTAAGTAGGTGGTGAAGCAGATTGACATCTTGGGTTGATTACTTTACCCCTAAATATTTTGTTGTATGACTATTTTATCCACTGAAATACAAAGCAATAGTCATTAAGATCAGCTGATTTAGACATTATCAAATGGCTCCTAAGGTCCTCGGTGAGAGAGACTGAGAGTGCATCTAATCCCTAAGTATTTCTGGTGAAATCTATTTCTTGGGCCCCATCCCATCAGAAGTTAAATACTTTCTTAGTGAATCATTTCATATGAATGTCAATACTTGTGATATGCTTTAGAACATAGAAGAATTGGAGATTGTCCCTTCATGTATGTATACTTAGTAACGCTAAGGGTTAAACATTTTTTATCCACAGCACATATACTGATATGCTACCAAGACATGGGAGATTATGTTGAAGCATGCATTTGTAAGAGTGCTGGTTTGAGCCAGCCAGGGGAATGCTTTGCTAATAGGCTCCAATGATCTGTTACTGAATACTGATAAAAAAAAACGGTTGTTAGCACATCTTAGTGTTCTTATCCACTAGGAGGCAGTGTGTGGATTAGGATTGCACCCCTCTCACCCCTTCGGTGGCTTCAGAGGATCCAGAAGTAAAACCATCAAGGTGTGTTTCAATCCAATCAAATATGGGGATTCCATTATAGAAGTGGCAATATACTATTACATTAAGGGCTGAGATTTATGTTTTCTAGTGGCATTAGACAAGTTGAGGTAGGGGACTTCAAGTAATGATTTGAGGGATGCAAGATGTGTCCGTTGACCCTTGCATCTTAAGGCATCTACTTGTGGAGGTGAGAACCTTTTTGTTTTTTGAGGAGGTGAGAACCTTGGCTGCCAGAATTAATTTCTCATTTCAGATGGTATCCAAGGTCTGCCAGTTCATTGGTAAAATGTCGGGATAGGAGAGGGGTGTCAAGGTCTAGATTACATTAGGAGCTCACATCTTGAGATAGCATTTATAATATTTTTCTGTTTTTTTCCTTCCATATTGATTGTTGGTATCTCCTGTCTATGGGGTTATGGTTTTGCTTCAACTTTTGTTCTTTCCTAGCTTCTTTCTTCCTCCAATCATATGAGGTTATCTGTGATTTTTTATTATCAGCTTTTATTGTTAATAAAGGTACTATTGCCAAAAAAATATAAAACCCACTGAAGCTATACAATATGGATTTGTACATGACATGATGAACCATCCAGGCATAATCAGGTTTCAAGGTAGAAGAGCACAATAGCCATGCTTAACAGCCAAAAGAGAGCTTATTCCTTTCTGAGAAACTGATGAAAAAGAGTATACATCCAGTGTGGTAGAAAAAAAATGAATAGAACATACCAGTGAAAAGAGTTCTCTTTGGTTGGATCTTCCTAACTTCCTCTAGAGCCTAGCAAGGAAATGGACATAAAATATAAACTTAAACCTGAATTGGATAATCTATTACCAAAGAAGAAAACTAATGTTTCACCTTTGGGAGTCCAAAATGCGTTGCAGATGAACGACCTGGTCGAAGTGCATCCTGAAAAAAAATTATTTAACGACATAACAAAATAGTCATGATATGGTACAGACCACGTTGTCAAGAAAAAAAAAACATGGTCCCAGCAATCTGGGTTTTGGGGTCTTGGGAGGGGTAGACTGGATATGGTCCTAACCTTGGACTTTTTTTTTTTTTGCACGAAGTGGATGCTCTCAGACATGAACCCACGTTCTCATGCTTACCAGCCTAAGATTTTACCATTACACCAAGTACAGCCTCCTACTTTCACTAATTACAAACTACTAATAATTGAAAGTTGCTGCTTGTCTTTTCAAAAGAGCACTTGTTTGAGTAATAATTAGGAGCTGCCCCTTCGCCAAAAACACGGGATGCCCAAATAACTACCATAAGAAAAGGAAAGCATAAGAGTAAAGGGAAAAGGGAAGGGAAGAAAGCACCAGAATCAGGATTTCACAATCCTTGAGAAGTGGGTATGTTTCTTCAGGTATATCACTTACATCACTGCAAAAATAAAAAATCAGTGCTGGAAATATTAATGAAGACTGGAGAAAATGCAACACCAATAATTAATGAATTGTCAAAAGCCTTGGATGTTTAAAATTCTTACCTAATGTAACAGACATTACCAAAACGAAAGCCAAGAGAACGGTAATTCTTCCCATGCCATACAGGTAAAGGAGTAATCTGAAGAAAAATAAAAAATATCTAAATAAATAATAAGTGTAAAAAATTCCGGGATGCATGAGATATTGAAGTTGCCACTTAAATCATGCCTAGTTTATTTATGGATGCCTGAACTGCCCCTTTATTCCCATGTCTTTTATATCCAACTTGAACTAATGACATCATCCCATCCCTCACTCCCTCAAGTGAAAAAAAAATACCTTTGCAATTCTGAAATTTATGGATCTATATTTGATTTTATAAAAGATTTTTACTGCACCTGACCTTTTTCTACCTCATTCTATCGATATATTTGACTATGTAATTTAAGTCATGTAAGAGCCATTCATCTTGGTTGGTTAGACAGCAATTGTTTTTCCTGAAAGAGACAATCCAAACCAAAGACCAACATACCAAGATTGAAAACCTTTATTTTATTTTACTTTATTTTTTGAGGTGGGGGGCAAGGAAGCAAGTGTAAAAAATAGTGAATTTCTTACCTTAAGATCATGGACAATAAATGGTTCCTCATGTATGATATTAAATTGCAACGCAGATACTGCAGCACCAGGTATCACCACACTTGTATCCACCAGATAATAATGAGTCTTCTTCATCACCTAAAATTATTTAAACAATAGTTATATGATCAGATCTAAGAACAAGTAGGAAATAAATTGAGTGTTTAGTTGAGCAGATAATTTCAGAAATAAATATTAAACCAAAATGTAACATAACAATCTATCTGCAAAAAAAAAAGAACCTGAAATCCATAAAATTTTGAAGATAAACCATAGAAACAACTTCACAGCTAAGCACGTGGAGCATTGTGCACTTTAACCAACCAGATTAGAGATATCAGGAAGAATTCATTCCATAATATATTACTTCTTTATAATAAAAACCCTGTACTAGTAGAAACCATTCTTTATTGCAAATTTTCATGCAATTTAACTGCTTCAGTCCCTTTGTCCATGCTGATGGGAAGACAGACTACAGGTTTATACCTGAATATTAACAGTTAATTTCCTGTCTTTGGACACAACATTCATGCAAACACTTTGGCCAGAAATAGATCAAGCACAATATTCCAAGGTATTCGCATCTTTTAACTAAGATACAAATTAAAGAATAACGTACAAAAGTACATAGTTCTATTGTCCCCAAAGAGAATGTTTAATGAATATACAACAAAATAATTATTGAATAAGGCTGTGGCTAATCAAAGTTAGAAGGTGGGATCAAAAAGAGCAAAAGAAATCAAAATGTGATAATTATACTGATCTCTTAAAATTGAACATAGATTGGGATTTAGGATACCATCTATAGTAACGGGCAGCTATTTCTGAATATATCATGAGAAGTATTTGATTCTTGCAATGTACCATTATTTTATTAACTGAAAAACATAAAAAGACTATAAGACCCCATATTGTTGGGATAAGGTTTGGATGATGATGATGATGAACAAGCATATAAGATTTTTCATGAAAAACGATATGAGGTGATAGATGGTGAAGTGGATGCTCACAGACAGGTATGCAAGAACTTGATAAAAAATATATCTTTAATTTAAAATGGTGCACAACACATGAAGGGGAAGATTTATCCTTGGACCTCAAAATCACGCTTTGCCACATAAATTGGGATAAAAGGCTGGACATTGTTTGTCCAATCACGGAGATCATCAAGACCTGCATAAATATTTAATCCCATTATAGTTACTTGAGAACTGCTAATTAATCAATCAAACCTTAATTTTTTCTTGAATAACAATAGGAAGACTGCATGTCAGAGACCTCCAATTGCATCCGCATGAGAATGGGTAATAATGACTGCATCAATGTCTCTTATCCTGACAGAAATGCAACTAGTTACAACACAAAAAGGGAAAGAAGGAAAGACCAGTTTAATCAAAGACAAGCTGGGTGTGCAGCAGGATCTAGATAAGGGGGCATCAAGAACAAATGTTATAGTAGCCGCTAGGCAAGAATTGATCAAAGATAAGCAGGTAAAGTATGTCTTCTTCTGCATGCTGCAATTATGATGCTGCCCATGAATAAAGGCATCAGAACAAGAGGGAGGAGAAGCATGCCTCGCCTCTTAATCTACTGTTGATTTTTTCTTTCAATTAGCAGTAGAGCAGCTGCAATTTCTCCTGCTCCTCTTTCTTATGCTGCTACTTTGTTGCACAGAACAGCATCAACCAGAATTTCTCGTTAACCGTTTTCTACATGCATATGAACTAAGTCATGTGATCTCCTGTAAAAAGATAGAAGATTTCATCCTCCTTGGGTTTAAAATGAACAGTTGCCACTTTTATAAGTGCATGGTCGCTTTTAATCCCAGGGATATATATACATATATATATATATACATATATATATATATACATCGATTTCTCTTGTTCCTGCAATATTCATCAAACCAAAAATAAAACCGTCTAACTAATCTGTTGCATTTGTACGACAATATGTAATATATGTATAGCAAACTATATACTTTGTGCATTGCAATTAAATACAAATAAGTACAGTGTAGATCTATGATTGTGTACTGAACTTGTACAAAATAACATTTTTTATCAGAAGTTGATCACTTAATTAATTAAGAGAAAGAATGGTGAATATACAAAAATGTGCCTTACATCTCTTATAGAGGCTATAAAATTACCCCCCCCCCCCAGTTCTCACTTTTCTACATGCCATCACAGACTGCCTCCTTGGAAAGTTGGCCCCAGTAAAACCTTGCTATGTATATTTGTATAAACCATAAAATGTAAAATAGAAGGAGACTTCTTATAATTCAAGGAAAGTACCTTTCTCAATGGCATTTTTGTCATCAGAAAGATGATCTTCTAGTGTTAAAGCAAGAAAGAGGGACTATTTAGGTTGCTGATATGGAAGGTACTTTACATATAAGGTAGTCTAGAGTTTATTGGAAAAAAATCAGATAATCTAGAGGAAAATCTGACGTATCAATCTTCATTTAGATGGAGGGTTTAGAATACGAACAACACAATTGGATAAAAGTTTCCTCCCAGTTATAAAAATCACAGTCCAATGCCATTTGGTTATTCAACAGGTTACAAGCATATTGTATCTTTATTTCCAAAGGATAGCTAGAAAAATAGAACATGATGGATATTTACCCAAAAGTGGGGAACCATTTAAGAGCACTCTGGTAGAAAAACCTGCAGCATGAAATTTGAAAATGTTCTTACTCCATAAAGAGGCAGTAGTTTCAGATATGGAAAGCAATCATATCTGATATGCACTTATATGATATTGAATTTTGATGCAGAGTCCAAGGCATATAATTATCAAGCTTTTACTTGTTTGAATATCCTTTTTCTGAATCCCATAAAACTGATGCCATGGCTCTTCATGGAAATGGACAGATGTAACAGAAAACATGGTTGATGAGTGAACAATACAAGAACATGCATGAGAATGAAATATAAGCTCACTCTGTTATAGTACGGTCACCAAAATTAATGAAACAACATTATTAGGTAGTGATATCCGAGCTCATACAAGTTTAAAATCAGATTAATTTGATGAAAAGGACAATTAATGGGAGGAAAAGTAAATTGCAGGACTTTACTTCTGTACCATTTTTCAATTAAAGATATTAAATATATAAACGAAAATCATTTTCTTAGTTGACAGGGAAATACTACTAAATACTACCTACTGATATTTACAGCCAGCCAAACTCCTTCCATTATTAACCATGCAAACTACACTGCTGAATTGTTTCAATCATACATGAACACAATTGGAAGTAATTACATACTTGCCAGCATCTATAAGAATGTTACATTTTCCAAAGGACTTCTGATAGCGAATAATAATGCTTGTGTTAAGTCTTCTGTTCTTGTTACCTGGTTCAACTGCTTTTGAGCAAACCTGTAAAATCCAATGTGAGACAGCCATTGGAATACAGTAGCACCAAAGAAATTAATGTTGCAGAAAGCGGTCAAATCTGGAACTACTTTCACTTTTAACAAGAAAAACTTGGCTAAAGTAAGAGGTCAAAAATCATACCGCACATGTCTTTAGTGGATTGGTGAGGCAGCTTACGCGTGGGATACCTTCACTGGTTCCCGTGCCCAAAAATATGAGTTCAGAGGGCTCCGTGGATAATTGTGTCCCAGAATTGCTGTTGGCAGAGTCTGTCGTGCATTCTGAAGTCACTTTGTATCTCATAGAAAACTATAAGCAGCTGCATATCACTAAGTACTACTAGGAAGTAAAACTGATCAACATAATTAATCAATTCTGATGAAGGGTGATTTGGCATGACCTAATAAGTAAAGGTCATGTGGACGCGATCTGTCCGAAGGATGACAACTCAGCAAAAGGAGACTAGTCAGCAGTTTTTAGAGATTGGGTGTTCGGTCACCTTGGCACAAAGCCACCTCGGCATAAAGTCACCTTGGCATAGAGGCACCTCGGTACCTAATCCAATTCGGGGCCCAAGAACCGAAGTGAAACATAATCGACTCCAGAAGCTTCCCAACGGACTCCGAACCTCACGGGATCACGCCGCGTAACGGCTGGCCTTATCCTCTCCCCGCCCAGATCGGGCGGAGACAATAGACTTCATTAACTAATATGTTACTCCCCGACTAAAGCGGAAACGGATCTCATCCACTCAGGCCGAAGATCCCAGAACCGTTTCGTGAGACCCATGGCAGCTCAACTATATAAGGGCAACAACCCCTCCAGGGCCCAGGTACGTGCGATTATTTGCTCACTAGTGCACTTATCGTTTAACTTTCAGCTTGCAATACTAACTTAAGCATCGGAGCGACCTCACCGGGTTCTCTGAGCTTCATTATTTTGCAGACCAAACCAGCTCACCACGTAGCCAAGTTCCAGATCATCCTCCAGCTAGGAGCATCCAGATAGTGCTCCATCATTTGGCGTTGTCTGTGGGAATCGAATCGAAAGGTCATTCCAACCTCTATCTTACTCTCAATGGACTCTTCCAGCAACACCGGGAAAGGTATCGACATGAACATCACCGGGGGGATAGATCAACAATCAGCTCTCCCTCAAGGTCCCACGGTGTGTATCGGTTAGTTTACCATTCCCCTCACAGTTTCGGGGGTCCCATCACTGTCTGTGCCGTAGACCACCCCGCAAGCGAGCGTCCCGCTCCTCCGGGTGGGCACCACCTTCTCAGAGCCATCTATGATTCCCCCCGGGGTCGGGCACTCTCAGATCGATGACCTGGTTCAATGTGTCCGGGCGATGCAGATCCAGATGCAACAAGTCCAGCAGTTCCAGCAATACTTCCTCTACTAGCAACAATTTCCACCCTTGCACCCGAGCCAGCAACCGGTTCCGCCTCGACATGCCACTCAGCGAAAGGGGTGGAATCGAAGCCCGCATAGATCCGCACAGGATGTCCGCCGATCTCCCCATCGGGATGAGGGGACATCGCAGGTACCAGTACTTCCCAAGAACCAAACTCCACCACAAGGCAGGATGGACGGGCAACACACTTCCTGGGTCTCTCAGAGGGGGAACCCGGGAGACAGGCCTGAAGTCAACCAGCCTGACAGAGCCAACCAACCGCAGCACTCGTGGCCTGAGAACAACAGGTCGTGGAGAGAAGATCATCAGCTCGGAGCCCAGGGTGTAGACTTGAGGCAAGCCCCCTCTACGCTTCACCATGACCAGCGTAGGCTTCATAACTAGGAGTTAGTGAGAAGGAACTCCGATCCACCTCGCGACAGTGTTTGGGAGCACGAGAGAACTAGGGTTGAGGCACTGGAACAGACTGAGGTTAGTAGCACCAACGCCGAGCCGGCAAAGAAGCAACAGCAGCGGCGTCACAAGACTAGTCGCTCTTCAGCCAGAAAGAGTCCGCCAGCAAAGCCCAGCCAGCCAGTGGAGCGAACCAAAGAAAGAGAAGAGGTGAGCTCGGTGGCGACGAAGACTGCGCCTGCTCTGTTGAGCCAGCCATCCCCCCGTCACCCGAGCTCCTAGTGGCCCTGATGCCAAAGGACTTCAAGGTCCCCCTGCTAGACAAGTATGATGGGTCGTTCGACCCCAGTGGCCACGTGGATGCCTACCAGTCTCAGATGCACCTCGTCGGGGCTGACGAAGCCTGCATGTGTGTGGCCTTCTCCACCACATTCAAAGTAGTTTGGACCTGGTATAGGAACCTCACACTGGGCTCCATCAAGAGCTAGGCTCAGTTTCCCGACCCGTTCACGGCACACTTCATCACTAGTAAGAAGTGCCCGAAGTCACAGGAGGGCCTTCTGAACGTGGTGCAGGAGGAAGGGAAGTCTATCAAAAGCTACATCAAGCGCTTCAATGAGACGTGCTTGCAGATACCGGACCTCGATCTAGCGGTGCGCCTCACTGCAACGAAGAAGGGGATCACCCACTGAGAGTTCAAGTGGCACGTGGTAGCAAACAAACCGAAGAACATCACCGAGTTCCTCAAGTTGGCTGATCAGTTCATCGGCACCGAAGAGGAAATCAACCAAAAGATTGACAATCCGCCGGGTGAAAAGAGGAAGAGAGAAGATGAAGGGACAAGCAACGACAAGCAAAAAAGAAAGAAAAGTAAGTCCCCGAGCAGAAAAAGAAGCAAATCCCCATGTTTGAGAAGTAAGTCCCCTTCGCGCGGCTACAAGTCAGGTTGGCGTTCCAGGACCCCTCCAGTAGAGCGAACTAATTACACCCCCCTTAACGCAAAGAGAGGAGAGATCCTAATGGCTATCAAGGACACCTCCATCGTCAGATGGCCACCCAGGCTAAGGGGAGATCCAGCAACAAGAAACCCGAACGTCTACTGCCACTTCCACCGGGATCACGGTCGCAACACGGAGAACTGTAGGAATCTCTGTGGCGAGATCGAGGAGCTCATTTGCCGCGAGTACCTGAAAAATTACATCAGGGAGACCAGAGAAGGAACGCCCCCGAGACTAGCAGGTAGAACGAGCAGCCACCTCGGCAGTTACCAGAGGAGAGACCAGTCCGCGGTGTGATCAATATGATCACCGGTGGGTCCATCATTGCGGGGTGCACATCAGTAGCAGGGAGGACATCGGTCTGTGAGTTGGAGAATGAAGGCGAAAACCCACCAAAGCGACCTCGGCTCAAAGAACCTATCTACTTCACCGAGGACGATGCGCGCGGTATTCAGTATCCACATGATGATGCCTTAGTCGTGAAACTCAAAATCAACGACTTCAAAGTGAAGTGGATTTTGGTGGACTCAGGCAGCTCGGCCGATATCCTCTTCAAGGAGACCTTCAATAAGCTGTAGTTACAGCAGAGTGACCTGAAGCCAATAGGCGCACCCTTGGAAGGGTTCAGCAGAGAAGCGGTCAAACCCCTTGGTCGGGTCACAGTACCAGTGGAGGTAGGCACGTGGCCGAACGTTGTACGATTCAAGCACTCTTTTCTGGTGGTTGCGACTCCATCCCCCTACAACGCGATCATAGGTCGGCCTATCACACACGTTCTACAAGCGATAGTGTCCACCTATTACTTAGCGATGAAGTTCCCAACTGATTATGGTGTGGGGGTCGTGTGAGGTGACCAACTCGAATCCCGTAAGTGCTACGTGGCCGCCCTGAAAGGAAAGGAAAAAGTTGGCAGAGGACGTCGAGCTCGAATAACCAGCGGAGCATACAGAGAAACGAGCTGCCCCGACAGAAGAAACGGTCCACATACCGATTTCTTAGACCGAGCCGATCAAAACTCTTCAGATCGGTGCCTTGATTAGCGAACCGCTCCGAACTCAACTTGCAAGTTTCTTACTAAAAAATCTAGATATCTTTGCTTGGTCCGCGGCAGAGATGCCCGGAATCGACCCTAAAATAATAACTCACAAACTTAATGTGGACCCTCTAATTAGGCCAGTAAGACAAAGAAAACGCAACCTCGCCCCGAAGCGGTGGAGGGTAGTCAATGAGGTCGGGAAGTTCCTCGCCGCAGACTTCATCAGGGAAGTCCATTACCCGAGTTGGGTCACTAACCCGGTGCAGGTGAAGAAGTCCAACGATAAGTGGCGCATGTGCGTCGACTACACCGACCTGAACAGAGCCTGCTCGAAAGATTGCTTCCCACTACCCAAAATTGACTGCCTAGTAGACGCAACCTCGAGGCACAAGTTGCTGAGTTTTTTGGAAGCCTACTCCGTCTACAACCAGATTAGGATGGACCTTGCTGACCAGGACAAGACCACATTTATAACCGAACTTGGGCTATACTATTATAAAGTTATGCCCTTTGGTTTGAAAAACACTGGGGCAATGTTCCAGCGACTTGTAAAAAAAGCTTTTGAGCCATTGATCGGCAATTAAGTGGAATGTTATGTTGATGACATGGTCGTGCAGACTCAATTTTTGAACTCTTTATTAAACGATTTAAATGATGTTTTTTCAAATTTTAAGAAAGTATAATATGAAATTAAACCCGAACAAGTGTGTCTTCGGGGTCACACCGGGTAAATTCCTAGGTTACATAGTGAACCGACGTGGCATCAAAGCCAACCCGGAAAAAATTAAAGCTATTTTAGATATGAGACCACCCCAAAAAATAAAGGAAGTCCAAAGGCTGACTGGCCGGGTAGCCGCCCTAGGCCGGTTCATGTCTAAGTCAGCGGGTCGATGCTTGCCTTTTTTCAAGGCAATGTCAAAGAACTTAATGACTTCAATTATGAAAGGGTGAAGTGGAAGACACAGCCCGACTATGAGCTGCTCCTCAAAGACCACGATCTCGTCATGATTGTGATCCCAAGGAAAGTTGCCTAAGGGAATATTGTATACAAGGTCGTTAGGAAATCTGTACCGAGCTATTAGAGATAGGATCCTGTCCGCTGTCATGGTAGACAGATCGAAGCTGTCTGGCAGGCGACCTTGGTGTGAGGTGGAGGCCGACTTGCCAGAGGCTTCTCGCTCTCGCCGAGGTGAGTCCGCCTCGAACGAATTGGAGTCTACATCCTGTGCCAAAGTGCCCACCTCGGCAAGATGAGGCTCCATAGTCTGTGCCGAGGCCCCCACCTCGGCCCCAATGGACTCGCCGCTCTCATCTAAAAGGCTATCTAAACCAAGGCTAGACATACTAACAGAAAGGAGAATGGAATCGAAAGCAAAGGAATGCGAACTCACCAAAGGAAGACCGAAAAGAGCAAGACGACCTCAGACACAGGAATAGCTGACATCGAGCTGGGATACTTGAATGCCACCTCAAGGACTCTGGATTCGCGGTTTTATGGCAAAGAAAATGGGCCCTTCGGCCCCTATTTATAACCAGTATATCCGGTCAGGTTTGGATGTTACACAAGAATAGATCAATCTAGGAACGGAGTATCCAATGTTGGTCCGGGCTACACAACTAATTAGGAGCAGGTGTAGTATTTCTATATTGAGGCACGATCAAACAAACAAATGACCAATCCAATAAAAAAGAACACCGATAAGTTTCTGAAAACTTAGTGCAAACCGTAGTCAATATGAATGTTAAGTATTGCAAACCACAGTCGATATTAATCTCTGTCGTTCCAATTTTATCCGACATTAATCTCATTACAGCATCAAACTTGTCCAATTCCACATTGCAGAAATCTATTGCATAACTTCTAATCATAAGGCTATGTTTAGTTTGACAGAAACTAAGAGAGAAACAGAAAGTAGAGGGAAGGTTCTTAAGAATTCAGTTTCTCTTATTTTCATCAAACCAAAACCAACCTAAATTAAAAAAGAAAAATTAAATAATCATGAAATTGTCTAGAGGAAGACAACAACCACTGAAGAAACTGACAAGAAATGTCGGGTTCTGAGTTCCACTCAAAACCTTGGTTTCAAGTATTGACTATGGTCTAAACGATGCTTAAATGATCTTCAAACTCAAATCCTCATACGACTTATCAGTTATCACCACACTGAATCAACAAACTGACATAAAATCGAATAAATGAATATGGCATCTATGAAAGAGAATAGATCAAAATGGAGAAGCCAAAAGAGAGTAAGAGTAGCAAGTGAAGAATTATACATTATTGAACTGGAGACGGCATTCCAATAACTTACTCGTTTGGAGGCAAGCTTGGAAAATCCGTTTAAATGGAGGGGACCTGCGACTCGGAAATGAGATTGCAGAGTTGCAGAGAGAAGCTTCGCGTAGGAAACGGGGAAATGAGCATAGGAAACGAGGAGGGGGGCGAGCTACGCCCGGAAGCACAATAACCATTGATATGCAGAATCGAAGGTCTGCCGCTCGGTCGCGGGTGAACAACAACAGTTAATAGAGGTCCCCCTAAGCGATGATGGAGCAAGTGGCGATCCACTGTGGTCCTTTTAAAGGCTCTGACTGTTTGGCTTGGAACTTTTCGCACTGGAGATCATTGCAGTTGCAGTTACGGTACGAAAACCGTTGTGAGAATCTTCTCTCGGCCCTGAGCCTGAATCACTTTGTGCGGTCGAGCCTCTGGAATTTTAGCACAGGGATTATGCGGCTGCTTTTTGGCGAACGGAGGCGGAAGCCGGAAGTTCTTTTCGGTAGTGCACAGAAGTAGGACTACACATCTGCTGCTACAGTGTTCACAGAACTTCTCTGCGACCGCCAATGAAATACGGGCACGTTAACGATTACAAATAAAAAATAGTGCAGTTGACGTATCAAATTATTTCAACTTTTGACGTGTTAGTGTTGCATTGGGGAGCGCAAGGGAGTGGAGCGACTGTGGTCGCAGCAAATATGAAGTGAACTCATTGGTCCAATTTATGAAAAAAAATGATTTAATGAAGCACAACAACGATAAAAAAATATCCAAAGTTCCAACCGTTCTTCTTATTCGCTGCTTCTTTTAATTTTGGTCCAAGCCGGGACAGTGGATCTATAAATAAAGGACGAGAAATCTAAGGAGGTGTTCTGTACCGTCGATTAAAAATTGGGGAAAAACTTTAGCTGTTGGAGTTTATAGCCTACTCTTGAGTAGGGTTGTTACTGGGTCGGTTAAATGGTAAATTCGGGTAGGGTTAGGGTCAATATATTTGGCTTTAGGGTCAGTTAGGGTTTTGATTATTCAATCTGATTTAAGTTTGAATGGGTTCGGTTTTTGGCTGACTCGCTCGTCGGGTCATGATACCCTACATATACACAGTATATTCTTGTAACTTTTTTACTTCTAGTTCTATAGCTTTAAAGTTTAAAATTTATTTACATGCTAGTTTTGATTTTTTTTCTTTTTTTTTTAAATGAGAAAAGTGACATATTAAATTCTATAAAATAATTTCCTAACTTAAATTGGTGGATTTTAGGTCTTCAAAATGTGTTAAAAAATACAATTGAAATGCCATGGGTCAGGTCGGGTGGGTATCAGGTTAGACCCTATAGGATCGGGTTGGGTTTGGAAATCATGTATTTTAAGGAAAGTCGGGTTAGGTTCCGGTTGAGGCACTATAGGGTTGGGTTAGGGTTGAGGCAAACTTGTGCTAAACCCGACCCGTTGATATCCTACTATCGAGAGCGTTTTTGAAAATGCCACGTTACCATGAGAATGGGTAAATTAGTAATTGCCACCAATATTATTTTAATTAAAAACAAAGACATGGGCATGAATAGGTGAATGTGTCCAACCAAAAAATACTCTCAACAACATCAGGTAGAGAGTGGATAGGAAAAGTGAGTAGAAAATCCCCAACAGCCAAAGTTATCCCAGTAATTGGTGGGTGTGAAATAATCCCCATAAATTGTGTTATGTGGATTAGTCTATACCACACTTTTTAATTTCATACATATCACATACAATTCGTGAAATAATTATACAATTGATTATAAATAAATAATTATACTCATAACCCAAATTAGTTTGGAAATATCATCGATAAATTCATATTAGCCAATAAAAAATTATTTTAACAAAATAATAGGTGAAAAAATAATTAACAAATAACAAAAATATTTTTATTAAAAAATAAATAATTCAATGAAATTTAAAACTTTAATAAAAATAATATCACTCATGTTAAAAAAATAAAAATGTATATCATCAAATTATAGCTTTGGGCACATCACATATGAGTAATTTAATATGATATAATACCCTTGAATCCTTGATTTAATTTTGATATGAAAACACCACTGATTTAAATTTTGATATGGGTACACCATGATTGATCTATACACCACGGTTGATCTAATTTAATATGCGCAAACCACGGCTAATCTGATTTGTTATGGCCACATTTATTAAAATATGTTAAGGGCCCGAGGTTGAGCTGAAGATTGGATTAGTTCAGCTACTTTATAGACGCTATTTAAAGAGAATGAAGGGACCGTCCTTCAAAATTTCAAATGATTAACCAATGGTTTATTTGGACTCTTTGAATTTTTCACCAAACATAGAAGCTCTTTCAATTTTTATATATAATAAATTAATATAAATATAATATACTGAATTTATTATATATATAAATTCTTATATAATATAATAAATAGAATAGTTTTTTTTTATAATTTTAAATATAATTATATACCATTTATATATTAAAATTAATACATTTTATAATATAATCGGATCGAATGAGAAAAAATTTGAATCCGATCTAATTATTAATCGGATGTAGATTGAAACATCCAAATCCGAGATAACTGGATCAGATGTTGGATTGGGCCTCAAAATTCTGAGTATCATTGACAGCCCTAATTCCCAAACTGACCCTAATAAGTAAGAGACCCCATGTCCAAGGCAATACAAGCCAATGTGAGGACAAGCTTTGCAGTAAATTTTATCTTTCACAAAATTTATTTTCATTATTCTTTTCCATGGATCATATAAGTATGCTTTATATTCAATTTCATGATTTAGGGGGCGTTCTTTTTTTGGATTTTGAGAGGGTGATGATCAAGAATCCCATGTTCTTTTTTTAGATTTATATGGGGACCAATGAAAGTCTATTTTTCTGGGTATCACTTACTTATCTCCTAGGTGGGTAAATACCTTTCCCACCTTAGGGGAAAGTTGTCAAAACTTAAATATGACAAAAATGCCCCTTGTAATAATGGATTTTTATAACTAAAATGGGTATTGCCTTATTTACATGGAAAATAAAAGAACATGGATAAATACACTTATCTAAATAAGTCTTTTCCAAGAAACACTTACCTGGATAAGTGCATTTACCCGGACAAATTACTTACTGAAAAATGAACGAAACCTTATAGTTAAAATGTTTGTTAGGTGTAACTGTGTAAGGTTAGGGTTAGGGTTTTATTATGTACAATTAATGTATGTAATGGCACATTTAGAATATAAAATGAAATATAATTTTTATGGATATTGAGAGATGCAACAAACGAATAGGCAAAATGGTGTCATAAAAATTCAAAAGCGGCAGAATGCTAACAGAGGGAACAGGATATTGGTATCTGAAAATATAGCTCCTTGCCTCTCTGTTGGAAATAAAAGCTCATAGATGAGAGTTTCACTACCCCCATAAGCCTAGGTATCTGTATTTTACCTTTTTGTTTTGGGCTCATTGGGCTACAGGCATAAGGAGTTGTTAGTTTTCTTATGGGTTATCACTTCTACGTACTTCCCGTGGGTTTAAGAGCTCAGATCTGCTGCCAATAAAAATAGTCATTAACACACTAACAGCATAGCTTTCAGCCACATCGGGCATTTTTCTGACTTGTAAACCAGTAAGAAATAATACAGACCCAATTAACAGGGAGCCCAGATTTTCTACTCACTTTTCCTACCCACTCTCTACCTGCCGTGAATTACAGGCGACTTCAATTCACGGCGGGTAAAAAGTGATTAGGAAAAGTGAGTAGAAAATCCCGACTGAACACAAGTTTTTTATCAAAAAAAAAAAAAAGTAACCCACGACTCCCTATCCCATGGGAGTTGTGGGTTTTCTACTAGTTTACATCACTTTCAGTTTCTGGTCTAAGGGTGTAATCCACAGATTGAATACTTTGAATAAAGCAGAGTTGACTTGACCGGGTTCATCACCTTATCATGTGGCACTGTAGGCTTTTAATGTATCGCATTCTATTGTGCTTTTGCAGTGCAACATCTATGTTCTCTGGGTTCTTTGGTTCAAGATTTAAATTCTTCTTCAACTGCTTTCGTGTCACCTTCATCAAAAACACGTCTGTGCATTAGAGAATTGCTCTATATATTTTATCAAACAAAATTTCAAAGCTTGACTATTTACCTCATTCAAGAAATGATTATTTTATTTCTCTTTCACATCTAAGCTTCTTTTATTTATTTAATACTCTTCCTTGTTGGGGTTCAGAGCTTCCTAGTTCCTGTCATCTACACCCATCTTGCTTCTTTGACACCAGTTCCTTGAGGGAAGCCATGACCATGGCTTTCTCTCGCATTTGGTATATTGGGTTGTGCTCTGTTCTTCTCCTCCTCCATAGAGGAGCTGAAGCATCTCACCCGATCTACATGCATCTTCAATCTGTTCAATCTACTTCAGCGGTTGATCACCAGCCTTATAGAACTGCTTATCATTTCCAACCTCCCCAAAACTGGATGAATGGTAACCCCCTCCTCTTCCTCCTCCTCCTCCTCCCTCACTAACTTCATATTTTCTTCTACTGCTCTGTTATTGTTTGTTTTGTTCATGACCTCTCCTTCAACGGTCTGATGTTCGTTTTCTTTGTTACTATGTCTGTTCGGACATGCCGTGATGGAATGGTCAAATGGGTGCTTGTTGTTGACGATGCAGATCCTAATGGTTAGTTTTACTCAATTAAATTCTGTTTACTGCACAATATGCTAAATTGTTTTGCTTTTCATGTTTCACAGGTTCAGTTAGATTTAAACTGAGCCACAGATCGCAGAAGTACTAAGACACTATGATTTTCTTTCTGTAATTCCATTTGCAGGACCGATGATTTATAAGGGAATTTATCATCTCTTCTACCAGTATAATCCATTTGGTGCGGTTTGGGGTAACATTGTATGGGCACACTCAACCTCCACTGATCTAGTCAACTGGGTTCGCCATGATCCTGCTATTTACCCGTCTGAACCATTCGACATTAAGGGTTGCTGGTCTGGTTCCGCTACATTCCTCCCCGGCGGCAAGCCCGCCATTCTTTACACCGGCATAGACCCACAAAACCGCCAGGTTCAAAACTTAGCATTTCCCAAGAACCTCTCTGATCCCCTCCTCAGAGAATGGATAAAACTAGCACAAAATCCTCTGATGGCTCCCATTAATGGCATCAACGCAAGCTCATTCAGGGACCCAACCACTGGTTGGCGGGGAGCTGATGGGAGGTGGAGGGTGATCATTGGTAGCAAGAGAAGACGCCGGGGAATGGCAATTCTGTATAGGAGCAAGGATTTTATTCACTGGACCAAATCTCAACACCCACTCCATTCGTCGGACAACACCGGAATGTGGGAATGCCCAGATTTCTTCCCAGTCTCTCCCAACGGCAAAATGGGTCTCGATACTTCAGTCATTAATCCGGGTGTTAAGCATGTGCTTAAGGTGAGCTTGGATGATACCAAACACGAGTATTACACAATTGGTACTTATGATCCTGCCAAGGATCAGTACAGTCCCGATCCTGGCTCTGTAGACAATGGTTCAGGCCTGAGATACGACTATGGAAAATTTTACGCTTCGAAAACATTTTTTGATGACTCGAAGAAGAGGAGGATATTGTGGGGTTGGATAAATGAATCCTCTAGTGTAGCCGATGATGTAGAGAAGGGATGGTCTGGACTTCAGGTAATTAATCAAAACAAAACCAATCTGATTAGTGCTTCTGAACATCTCTGTTTCTTCATCTCAAAGATTGCATGATTTGCATCTAATGTCTGAATTAATGCTTCCCAGTTTATTTCTCATAGTTTGCTTTCCAGTAATCCTTTCCGATTCAGAAAGTGGCTCAGTTATTCACCTGGGTCAAGAGTTTCAATTTCCTATGTCGGTGCCCTTAGGCTGAAGTTGGGCAATTTAATCAGAAGGAAGGAGAAGATCAATAAATCTTATGAGATCCATTTTGCAGGCAATCCCAAGGCTTCTCTGGCTCGATTCAAGTGGGAAACAACTGGTGCAATGGCCAATCGTTGAAATTGAACAACTACGAGGAGACCAAGTTAATTTGGCCAACAAAGAGATTAAGGGAGGGTCAGTACTCGAAGTTTCAGGAATAACAGCCTCCCAGGTAAGTTTCTCTCTGAACTCTTCGTCAAAGCCGATGTATATATGTCTGCAATTAATTAATTTGCCGTTCTAAACAGGCGGATATTGAGGTTTCATTTGACCTTTCAAAGCTAGAGAAGGCAGAGGTGATGAACCCGAGTTGGGTTAACCCACAACTGCTCTGCAGCAAAAAAGGTGCTTCAGTTAAAGGTGGGATAGGGCCATTTGGATTACTGGTTCTGGCATCGAAGGACATGAAAGAACAGACAGCCATCTTCTTCAGGGTATTCAAAGATGGCAAGAGATATGTGGTGCTCATGTGCAGTGACCAAAGCAGGTCAGTTCTCATTCGTTAGCTCAGAGTCTTGAAGTTGGGTTTGTCTGGGTCAATTTTTTTTTTTTTTTTTCGTTTGACTAACTAAATGTTGAATTAAATTAGGTCTTCCTTGGGTAAAGACATTGATAAAACAAGCTATGGAGCTTTCGTGGACGTAGATCCTCTTCACGAGAAGTTGTCATTGAGGACTTTGGTAAGTTCAGTGGGGTAAATTAACAGTTGTTTTTTGTTTTTTCTAATACATACGTAAGAGATGGATCCGACCATTTATTCCAATGAGGAAAAATGAATAGGTAGTTCTGACTTTTGTGGAGCCGTGCACCTTTTCTCTGTCAAATAAAACAAAATAAAGGGTAAATTGCAATGTATTTTGGGTTTAGTCTCAGTTCCAATTTAGTCTCACTTAAAACTTTTGAAAATATTAAAATTATCCTTCAAAATAAGCTTATGTTCATCATCTTCTTTCAGATTGAACCAAAACAATGTATAAGCATTTAAATGATTGATAAAGAAAATTTAGATGACACTTAAACGAGTATTTATGTCTTTCCATATACCACTTAATAGCATTAATAATTTTAGAGTAAATTAGAATTCAAGTACTAGATTGACATATTTTAAAATTTGGATATTAAAATGAGACTAAATCCAAATTACAGGGTAATAATATACAATTTAGCCTAAAATAAAATAAAAAATCAAACGATATTCGATTAATGAACATCAGATTTTGAACAAACGTTTAAAGTTGAGAGGAAGTTGTTAAGAAATTTCACAATATTTGTTAAGGAACTTTCCTGTGGTTTATGTATTAGATGGCGATGGAGTGATGGGTGTATTTTGAATTTTGAGAGCCATATACCATTTGGTCAGTATACGCAATTGAATTGAGGAGGACTACTGCCACATATTGAACTCTTGCTTATGATCAGTTGCCACATTTTTCTATTGAGCTCCTAGTATTAGTAGGTCAACAACTTTGCATTAAAGGAAATGAGAAAGTAGATGAGAACTCTAAGAGTGCTCCCAGTGATCAAATTAAGCGAACCAATTAATCAACACAGAAATAATTCACAAAAGTAGGTTTTTACTTTCCACATAGTAAATAAGCGAGACCAAGTCATGGGTCGCCATGTAATGATTCTTTCTAAAAAGCTACTTCTTTTTTTCTTCTTAGACTGCTTTCCATGTGCTTAGGGTCAACATAAGCTTGCTTGCTAAGAACAGATTTCCTTCTTTTGCTTAATTTTAGGTTTTACTAATGTATGTGGGGTTTCATCCTTTGCAGATAGATCACTCAATTGTGGAGAGTTTTGGTGGACAAGGAAAGGCTTGCATCACTGCTAGGGTGTATCCAAAACTGGCTATTGGAAACGGAGCCCACCTCTTTGCATTTAATAATGGAGCTGAGAGTGTGAAAATAGCAAGCTTGAGTGCTTGGAGTATGAAGAGGGCTCACATCAATGAAGCTTAGCTAGCAAAAGTGAAATCAGAGGGGATTATTATAAGAAGCATGATAGAAACTGTATTCTTATTATTTGGTCTAAATAAAGGTAGGACTTAGGAAGAGTTGCGTGAAGCGTTAGGGTCTACAATAATCAATAATCAACACTGAGGTGTTCCATCCACATCATAATATCTTACCATGTTAGAACAAAAAGGAAGCCTATCAAAAAGATTCCAACAATAAGGGAAGAGAGTTCACATTATTGTTCATCAGTTCCCATCTCATGGAGATCCTCTCCCATGTACCTATTTATCTTTTGTTAATTGGGCGTTATGCTTCTACTTAATGCTTTTACTTTTTGGTCAAAAAGGTGAAACCATTCATCAAGGCTATGTTTAGTTTGAAGGAAAAGGTAGGAAAAGAAAGGGAAGGACAGGAAAACCAATATAAGATTTATAAAAATTTTTCTACTTTTTCCTACATTTTCTTTCAAACCAAACATAACACAAAGGAATAGTATTACTGAAACAGAATACATATCATTCTGGACAGGTTGCTCCAGAAACAAAGGAATAATAGACCAAATAGTAGTCGGAGTCCGAGTGCACCAGATGGCAATATTTGCAGCTTTGTGAGCAGCTACATTTGCACTCCTATGATGAGTATAGTTTTTTTTTGACACCTAAAAGTAAGTTCATTCATAAATGCTCATGCTATAAAGTAAAAAAAAAAAATTAACAGCAATAAAAAATATAACAAAAAAAGCATGTTAAGCATGCTAAGATAAAACAGGTAACCACGAGCATCGGGAGAAAAATGACTTGAGAAATCTTTGCAATTGATGTAATTTAAGAAATGTCAAAAAGGTCGGCTAAATGGCTCCAACAGAGATGAAGTCAACAATTGTGTTTCCCTACCAAATGGGTTCAGATCAACTACGCAAAACCCTCAAATTAAGTGTGTAGAAAAAACAGATACACCACGGCACCCAATTCATGGCAATATTAAAAATGTAAAAGTGGGAAAAGCCTAAAATAGTCTCCTGTTACAAAACTCTTCCTAACACAATAAAGAAACATCCAGAAATAAGCAAACATGTTTATGATACACCAATTAAGATGGTTCCAAAGAACCCACCAACGAACAGAAAATTTATGATATTTGAAGCAACGCCTTTAATCATGATACAGAAGAGACCAATCTCCAAAGTAAATACATAGGGTGCAAAACCTTGTATTTTGTATATATTTGAACTGTGCATATTTGTATTTGTACTCCTTCCCAATTAAGCCTAAGAAAAAGAGTGAAAACAAGGATAATAGGATACAGATGGACAATTTCTTGAGGGGAACAGCACGAACAAAGAGACTCCACATGGTCATGAGATACAACTCCTAATCCAAAAGGGACTTGCTGAGCTGCCATTGATTGTCTTGTATCTAGAAAGAAATTGTCTGCATGAACTGTTAGTTGCTTTAATTTAGCATTTAAAATGCAGTGAACATAAACATGTGCAGCACAATGTTTTTAAACCATCATTGATCCTGATATTCAGACTATTTATACAATTGGTTCTGTTTTACCCCTAATCCGTTTTTTGGCTAAAAACTGTTGACTTGGATGAATAACCTATTGACCTAGGTGATTGAACCATCGATCCATTTAATCAAAACAACAGTTTTTGATCATTTTATTTTTTTAATTTAAAACAAACCATCTTTTTTTTTAATCAGACGATCAAACCGCTGACCTGAAAACCGGTGGTTAAAAGAGTTCCGATTTCGTGTCGATTTTTAAAACATAGGCGCATAATGAATGGTACAAATGAGATAAAAAATTTCAGCCAACGCCCTATATGCTTATAATGCTTCAATTCATGATAAATAAATAAATAAATAATTGAGAGAAGGGATGTAAATTAATTACTTCATATTTCATCTGACAATAAATAAATGAGTTTTAAACAAATATAATCTGCAGTGTAGAGTGAATAGGTGGCTGATTTAGATTGGGTTTTACTTGGCCACACGAGTGGAGGTCGTGTTAGGAGTTTTGTCTCCTCTGCCAAAATACTTAAATTACAACAATCTGCTCCAACCAAAGTTTGGGGTTTGGTGCAGCTTATTAAGATAAATTAAATTAATAATCCACGACCACGAGTATTAGACTGACAAATCCACCTACCTTGCCGTTTTATAAAGGCCTCATTCGTTTATTGGATAATTTGATGAATTGAGAAAATTGATCAATTTCTCGGTTTTTTTCCCTATGCGCATGTTTTTATTGGGCTTATCTCAATAGTTTAACTGTAACCATATAAGAGAGAAAATTGATCAATTAATTTTTGGGTTTTTGAGTGTCAATGTAATGGATCCTATGAAAAGATTATTTCTTACATATATCGGCTCTTTAAGTAATCAATACTCTTCTGGTGTGAGCAAGTTGTTTATCCATCCACCGAAAACGCATAAATCTCTTGCCAAAATCTTTACTCGAATAAGTATTAGTGTGACCGAATAGTGACATCGCAATTTTCCAAGATAACTCTTACCCTGGGGGATCATTTGCCCAAATAAACACAGGCCAAAAATTGTAAATCATACGAGATGACCGAGGAACTAAAAGGGTTAGCTGAAAAGTGTGCCAAAATTACAGAAGTTATTTATCTTCTCTTTTATCCACCAGTTGTGTATATTTTATTCTTCCTAAGAAATTGTTTCAGGGCTTTCTTATTTGGTACTATTACCAAAATTCATACAAATATATACATATATATATATATATATATATAACACCAACGATTCTTATAATTGATTTTGCAAGGCAACCCTGATGTATATATATTTTTTGACTTATTATGTAAATAATCGATCCAATTTTATTAATTGTTAGAGATCCAAGTCCCTTATCTTATGAAGTTTGGCTTTAGTCAGGGGAAAGCCTGTTCAAGCAGTCTTTACTGTCTTGCATCGAGAATATCTTCGTACTTTATACTTTTTTCATAGGGAGATATTCCCAATAAAAGGTTGAAAAAAGGCTGTTAGAACAGTGTGGGCATAGGTTTGCACTGATAGAAGCTGATCTCTATCTTATGCATGGTGCCCCCTGCTTTTTTGCTGAATAAGGAAATAATATATTAATTAAATAGATTCTTGTTGTCTTTTTGGGTCAAAACTGAAAGTGGAAACCTAGGAGATAATGAGACTAGATCTGTTCCTCACACTGATCTCACAGGTACATCCCACCATATATTGGAAACGTCTCCCTGTACTTATATGTTATTATTTACAGGAAATGTTTCCAATGCACGGTGGAATGCATATGTGAGTTTGTCTTGAGGCGCCATGTGTGAAGAGCAGATCCCAATTCAGAGATAATCACTACTCATAGACCTGTTCATGGGTTGGGTGGTCCGACGGGCCGATCAGGCCTGATCCGACCTAAAATTAGACTTAAAATGGGTTATGTGATTATGTCCATTTGAATAATTTTTTTTATTTAAGAATGTAAAACTGTGTTTTAAAACGTAAAAGAAAGGGAAAAAAACCATCTTGTAGGCCCATTGTTCATTTAAATAGGAAAAAAAACCATCTAAATTTTTAATTCTAATTTGAATAGGAAAAATTGTAATTTTTTTATTAGGTCGGGCTTCGGGCTTTTTATCAAGGCTGGACTCGGACCCAAATTATAAGTCCATTGGTCGGGCCGGGCTCGGGCTTGGGCCTAGTATATTTCCATTAATAATAAGTAAAAGTCCGGGCCCGGCTCATGAACAGGTCTAACTACTCACATTGTTTATCTTCTTTTTATTCCTTGTGCTACACATGGTTTATCATTATAAATTTATAATACGAGAGGGTGATGCACTGGCGTTTCCTGCTGGCACTATTCATATGCTAAATAAACTAAACATTTATATCTGCAAATTGCATGTTTTTTAATCAACAACACAACATCAAGGCTTTTCAAAAAAATTAAATAAATAATAAAAAGAACAGCATAGACATTAATTTATGTGGCATAAATTATTTATTATGTATTTAATTTTGTACTTTGTATATATGTAATCTAACCAGCCGGCTGAGTTTATTTAAAAAAAAAGCAGCTTGCTGGAATCCATTCTTCATAGATTAATTGGAAAGAGCAGCTTGAGTTCTCTCTTCTTCTTTGGGGAGAGAAACTGAGAAAGTCATGGCAACTTCTGCTCTCTGGTTTTTGTGGTTGTGGTTTATTCTGGTTGGAGATGTAACTGAAGTTGAAGACTCCCGCCGCACTCACGGTGACCTCTACCCTCTTCAGATTACTTCAATAAAGCAGCCGTACAGAACCTTATATCACTTCCAACCTCCAAGAAACTGGATGAATGGTAGCTGTAGCTCTTTTCTTTCATTCAAATTTTTTTCTTTAGTGCTTTTTTTTTTCCTCTGAATTCTTTGATCATTTTATTTTTCATGTTTTTTGACATGTTAATGAATGGAAAACGGCCATCTTGGATGCACAGATCCTAACGGTTAGTCTCCCAAACAATCGCCACGTTTCCTCTTTTGATTGTCTTGTTACTTTTAATTATACCGCATGTTCTGTTCCAGGCATAATCCATTTTGATATGAATCTGTTTTACCGAAACAAAACAAAGGCCCAAGACTCGGTTTGACATGCCATGAATCTATATCGGGCATGATGAATAATACTAGGCTTTTTTTAACCCCCAAACTTCCAGTGGATAGGTGGCCACCGTTAAAATTTTGGGATTTTTAGACTACTCCATCTCAGAATTCTGATTTAAAATATATATCTATAATAACTATTTAAAATTATAAACAGCTTCACTTATAACATCCATACTTGTTCATAAATTAGTATCAATTTCGAGCTGGCACCTACTCCACCTATATGGTGAAGCTAAAAATTCTAAAGATAGACTGAACAATAAAAACCCCTAAAATTTTTTAATACAGTAGAACGATATGATATACAAAGAAATCATTCATAAATACAAAAAAAAAAATCGGAAATAATCTCTAGCCCAAATGCTAAATAACCCAAAAAAGGAATACCAGAACCATCATTATTCAGCAGAACTAATTGAGTTTCAATCCGGAGCTCATAAAAAGAAATATAAATCCTGTTAGTGAGATGATTACTTCTCGTCTTGGACAGCCAGTCCACTGCTTGATTCACCTCTCTATAAATATGAACAACGATGATATCCATTATTAGTTCATGGTAATTATCAAAATGGCCTTCTAATACCATAGGTTCCAAGCGGGATTTGCTAGTATTTTGTACTATGTCATGCAAAACCTTCAAGTGCATAAGCTTCTGTGGAAAGTCACAGTGAAATTATTTCTTCCGTGGACAATCCCCAACTCTCCCAATAGTCTTAGGACTTCCTCGAACTGATCCATTAGCATTTAACTTACAAATAGAAATGGCAATGGGACAGGTTTGGGGCAGGGATCATATTTCTATTTTTCAACATTATCCTTCATCCCCGATCCACAGGGGACTTCATTCCCCATCCCCAATTTTGACTCCGGTTGGGGATTCTTATTAATCTCCATCCCTAACCTGAGGTTAAGTATCCGGTGGGGATGAGAAAAATTGTCATCTCTACTTACAAAAGCCATGATGAACTGGGTTTAAATGTACCACCTTTAGCCCTTTACACCTGATTGGTAACGCCTGAAGGCCCAAACAAGAAAAGTAGGGGTTTCTTTGAGCAAAGGATTGATTTCCTGAATCCACACCTCTCTACCATAAAAGTAACATATTGGGAACAATCGAAACACCCTTCCATCTTTTTTCTACATCTCTCTTTTCAAATTTCCCAAGGGACAAGGGAGGCCAAGATTTTCATACACAACTTTCTACCAAAATCCATCCTTCCCATTCCTACCCACACACGGTTAGGGTTTTCCTTCAACAGAGATCCATTTCCACACAAACCCTAGCCACAGACCCACGGTTCTTCTTGTCAAAAGTCTCTAGCTTAAGACATTTGGATCATCTACTTTCAACAGACATTTGACCACCTGTGTTATAGATCAAACATATGGATCATCGTAAAGATTCATCAGTAGTTGGGGGGGGGG